GGTGAGGAAAAACAAAAGTAAATTAGAACGCGAGATGTTTTGCAGAGACGAAAGTAGAACACAAAAGATAAAGGAAAGCATACAATACAGATAAAAAAAAAAAAAAAAAGAGGAGAGAGTGAAGAGAGAGGAGTGTGCGAATTTTCCGTGGCGATACTCCTTCAGACGAAAAGTGCGGTCCCTTTTCTCGGTCGTTGTTGAGCCACGCGAGAGTATTGCGCAATAGTGGATATGACGGTGGTTCTCACTCAGTCTCTCGTATCTCCTCTCGTGTACAAACTCACACAAAGAGAGAATGCGAGACAAGACGATCTTCCGGAGGACGATCTTCGAACACATCGGCGCGACGAAAACGATACACAAAAAGAAAAGAAAAAGAACTGGGAGAAATAGTATAAAATTCTTGCGAGATTTATCATGTGAGAAGGCAGTGATAATAATGTAATATGATACAAAAAAAAATACAAAAAAAATACAAAAAAAAAATGAAGATAATAAACGAGAAGCGAAGCGCGAAGCGAGAGACCTGTTACTGAGGGTTGTTGCGAAATCTCGTCAATTTTTGCGTAGCAAAACTTTCGACTCCTGAGATACTCGAAGGATTCTCAGACCTTGAAAATCGAGAAAATTGAACGATTTTTTTCAGCTAAAAGAAAATATTCGAAAGAGACGAGGATAAATTGAACGCGAGGGTAGATCTTAGGGTACGCGCGAGAGGGTAATACACCAAAAGACCAACAACTGTGAAAAAAATCTTAGATCGAAATATTCCAGTAATTAGGAAAGATTTTTGAAGGTCCAATACAAAGTAAACTCACAAAACACACAACGGTCTTCTGTGACTGGTAATAATTCTCTTCTGATGGTCTTTTGAACGATCACAGCTGTGTGAGAGAGCTGTGTCAAACGGAACGATCGGAAGGGCGTCGAAACAAAAAACAATTTAAAAGTACATTAAAAAAAAAAAAAACAAAAAAACAAAAAAAACAAAAAAAAAACAAAAAACAAACCAGTCTAAGAGGATTATATTATAAAGGGTTTTTTCGAGGATCCACAAAGTGAGTAGAAAATTAGGAAGCTAGATAATACTTCGAAAACCGTATAAGAATCCAATGTGCGGCCCGAAATAAGTCGAAGACGAGGAAGGTAATGTCGGCACTTGGAAATCTATTATACCGGACCTTCGCAGTTACGCGCAAAAGTTGGTGGGCTTACCGTTTCTAGATATATATATATATATATATATATACAAATATATATATATCTAGATATATATATATGTGTACATATATATATCTATATACAGATATATACATGTACATGTATACACACATATAATCCGAACACAACGGAGAAAACTCTAAGTAAATCGACATTTTTTAAATGTTCACAAAGCAAAAACCAAAAAAGTAAGAAAAAAGACAAATCATATGATAAAAAGTACGATGAAAAAAACGATGTAACTGTGGTTTGGGCTAATTGTATTAACCGTCGATTAAGTTCTTTCTTTTTTTCTGTAGAGCTCGGATTTCCGACATTTTAAACTGCGTCATGTCGTCCAGTGATATATATATGTGTGTGTGTGTATGTATGTGCGCGCGCGTGAGCGTGTGTGTGTGTGCGCGTGCGTGCTTGCCATAAAATCGAAAAATTTGCATCACGATCAAGTGCGTCTGCCGATTGTTGAGGGAAAGGTGAAGGTATAACATGATTGAATGTGTAATCGATGTCAGAATATAAGTCTGAGGAACGGAGCTCGATGTTTAATAAATCTTTTATGAACCGAAGCAAAAAAAAAACAAAAAAAAAAAAAATTACACATGTATAAAACACAAATTTTTCAAATTAATATGAAAAAGGTCAAGAGTAAACGGTTTCGTGCGCGAGATATCAAACATATCTTTCTCACTTTAAAATGTAACTTGCTTCCAAGCTGATATAAGTTCGAATTCGCGTGTAACATGTGAATATTCGCGGAATAAGAGAAAAACAAAAAAACAACAGAATTCTGAATATTCGATATACACAGAGATATAAGCTCGTTTCATCTTGTACGAACCAACGAGCGAGACTTGGAACGCGAGATCAAGAGAGCGTGTGCGTGTGCTGACGGAGATTTAAAAGAGACACAGAAGAAATGAGAAATGATATAAACGTCGTAATATAATATTTGAATGCTAATGTAAATGCGTGCGAGAAAGAGAGAGAGAGCGTGTGCGTGCGTGTGTACGCAGGACTTTTTAGCAGTGTTTCCAATCTATGTTTATAAGAAACAAAAGAAGTACAGAATTTTGTGAATTTTGCGAATAAAAAAATTGAGACTAAATAAAAAGAAAAAAAAACAAAAATAAAATTTTCGAGTGCAACACACAGTGGTCGCAATAATAAAGCAAATTGAAAGGAGGGGAGACAAATATGCGATGCAAAATGTTTTTCTCGAAATGTCTGTCTCGTAAATTGTTGGAATTTAAACGAGAAAAAAAGCACGACAACGAGCATTCGCAAAACAAACGAGTGCTTTTAATTAAACATATTGCATCGCGGCGCAGAGTCTCGCGGTCGCATCCAGATGCCGTCTCTCCTTCGTGCGAGGATCGCACCCGATTTTTCCAAAATTGATCCGATCCGTGATTTTGAAAATCGAAGTAAAACCCGACGTACTCACAAATCGCGTCGCGATGCGATCCAGAACGAAGGAAAACGTAACGTCGTCGTGGCTCGCCGCGAGCTTTGTTGTGATTTGATTGCGTGAATGGAGTTTTGTGCGATGACGTGGAAACGAATGAGAATTCGATCGACGATTCGAAAGTTTGACGATGCGAATTTATATAGTGGAAGCATTTTTTTTTCTGTCAGTTTGTCGATATACTGTTGCGGTATTCGATGATCGATAGTGGTCAAATGCTTAGATAGAGATGGATGTGTGAAAGAGAGTAGAGAGAACGATTTTTGCGATTTATTGCGGTTCGAAGCCGTCGCGCGCGGATCGGTTGTCGTAGATCGAGTATATATGGCGAAGAGACGGATTTATTGGAGAACACAAAGGCAACCATCACTTATTATATATTATTGTACATATTTACTGTAATTGCTATTCGTATCGCAGAGGTTTCTGTTCTCTCAAAGATCATTTCCTCGATGATTTAGCGGAAAGAAACGACAAAAAAAAAAAAAATGTGAATAAAGTTAGATTTGTGTATTACTGAATCAATCCCTATCTCTTGTCATCTGCGTAAAGTAAGAAAACAAAAAACTTTGCGGTAGATAAAAAAAAGACTACTTTTTTATTTAAGTAGTTTCTGTTTTATTTAAGTATTTAGTATATTTTCCGATCAATTTCTCACCTTTGACGAAATTACTGAAGAATTTTACAAAACGCGGTGTATGTACGTGTGGATATGTCGAGTCACGTTTATTTTTGGATATCCCACGTTGGTTTTCAGCAATTCACAGGTGTGAAGAAATCTGACGATCGGCCGATATCTCGAGAACAAGTAAACTGTGAAAAAAAGTTTAGCTATACACATATATATATAAAAGAAACTTTAACATATTTGCATACGTGCGTGTTCAATCGTCACGTAGAGAAACGTGACATCGTATGTCACGTAAGTTCGATACGAGTTCTCAAGTGCGTGCGCGCATGTAAATTTAATTGCGAGATTAATGTTGAGAAGAAAAATTAACAATTGAGTCAGCACAGCCACTAAGTTTTTGTTGAAAATGTGTGAAGCACATCAAAATTTGAAATAGAGCAATAAAAAAAACTCCTAAATTTTTTTCGCAAGTTTCATTCTAATTGCGCTGAAGTGTGGCTATGCCAAATTGAACGTGATTAATTATTTGCTTGAAAAAGTATCATCGCATCTAAATTCGTCACATTTGGACTTTAGTATTGAACTGTATACTCACCGAGGATACAAATATTTTGACAATTTTGTGAGACAGTACTGTGGTAAATGTTTCCGAACTGAATTGCCCCCGTTGTCAACACATGGCAGCCAATCAGTTCGGCTCTTTTCAAACACGCAAGAGCGAAATCCTGATTGGCTGAAGCGACATTGTTACGATTTTAAGGCTTGTCTGCAATGGCCGCTCGTAGCGCGCTTGACCTTCGACTATAAATAATTGCTAGTCGGTATCTTCACGCCTAAATGACGACGCGGCGAATCAACGAAACATCGCGACCTCATTGGTCAATTCTGCGACGAGCTGCGCCATTGCGGACGAGACTCAAAGCAGAATGAAGACTGAGGCCCGAATTCATAGTCGTCTCTCAGATCTCAGATCTCAGATCTCAAGAGAGAGAGAAAGAGAGAGAGAAAAAGAGAGGGAAAGAGATGAGATGAGATCTGAGATCTGAGAGACGACTATGAATTCGGGCCTGAGAGCGGCCAGGGGCCAAATAAAAAACTGTAAAGCCTGTTCTACATTGATCGCAAGCGCAAACGCAAGGAACAGGTCTGGTAGAATTGACTAATCGTATTGATCAAATCAGCCAATTGACCAGCGTGATTGGTCAATTCTACGAGATCTATACCTTGCGCTTGCGATCAATGTAGAACGGGCTTAATAGCTTTTCCGCCCAGTAAACCAGCGCTACACTCGATTCAATTAGAGAAGAGAATTGTACAATAGGGGAAGAAAAGCGGGCAAAGTAGGGATAGAGTTGCGTGCGGGATTGGTGGAACACTTGCTGACAGCCAATGGCTGTGAAGCAAGAAGACTTTAGTAGGAGAAATGCGCGAAACGGGGACGAGTTTTTTCGTCCGTCGAAATTCTCTTCTCTAATTAAATCGAGTGTATCTGTCTTCGTTCTACGTTTTACAAGGAAGAAGGATCGAGCGACGATTCTAAAAACACGCTAGCGCTACGTTGACGAAAAACAAGGATAGAACGACGCAATTGCGCCGATGACGCGCACTCCCCCTAACGTAACTCGAGTAACATATGTGTATATATATAACGACGCAGGTTCATCAGTTTCATGCTCTTTCCAGAAGGAACAGTCGACCCTCCTGGTGGCGCGACCTTGCAACGTGTGCGGTAACATTTTACCGTAAAAAATGGTCGTACAACAATCGTCTTCCGATTAGAGGCGGGTACCTCGCGAAGAACGAGAGAGGAGCTTGCGAAGTTTCGAGTCCGGTGAACGGTGACGGGGGTGCGGCCAGCCGTCGATGCGACAGCGAGTGGCGAACGCGCAAAATGGCGCCCACGCGTGTAATTTTGATGTCGTGCGGCAGTTACAATCCACCGACCAACATGCATCTGCGGATGTTCGGTACGTATACGCATGTCGATTTCGTTGTTGATAGATTGGAAATAAATAAATACGCTATGCCGTTGTCATGTCTCAAAACAATAGATTAAAAAAAAAAAAAAAAAAAGTTAAGTACAAGTGACTACAAAGCTACTTTCAAACGCTATCTGTTGTAACGTTTTCAGTGTTCTGTGACAAGTAGTAAAAGCCGAATGCGACGGAAGAACGCGATAACAAGTTGGCGAGCAATCACACATTCAACTATTCGTCTTTGTTGAAATCATACGGACTACGCTTATGTTTCATTCGCAATGTTTTCACAATGTTGAGCTTTGTTTTTCGCTGACAATTCGATCGAATGATTAAGCAACTTTGCAAAGTACACGGGTCGATTTGATGTTGGTTAACTGTGGCGGGACAATGCGGACATAAATGCGAACGGGAATATAGGCGAGATATTTCGAACAAATGTTCGATTGATTTCCACAGGATGTACAAAGATCGCGGTCACAAGGCGCAAGTAGCGTCATAAATTTGTCTTGTATTATTCTGTGTCTTTATTCTTTTATCAGATGTAGACTGTATAACAACTGTATAACAACGTTTTAAAGCATTTGTAGCGTTGACTTGATCACGGGCGGCCATATTTAGCAGGGTTTTTCATGTTGTTTACACCTTTTGCGATTTATTTCGTTTTTTTTTTTTTTTTAATCGAAGCATGAAAACGCATATTTTATAATTTACAAATAAAACATTGATTTTAAATTTCTTTTTAGCTTAAGAATAAGTATATAAATAATTAAAATTATGTACATATTATATATATTCAACAATAAGTTTTATACTTTTGTGTTTTAATTTATTTACAGATATACGAAGTAAGTATTGGGTTGTCCCAAAAGTTTCTTTTGAAACTTTCACCAACTGCTGTTATTAGCAGTTGTCCTTATCCTTTTTAGTCTTCAGTCGGAAATAAGATTGCATGTTTATATAAACACTGCCAGATAAGGCAGCTTCGTGCAGGTTGGAAATAAACCTTTGGGACAATCTAATAAAATATTTTTTTGTTAAACTTTTGACATTAAAATGGTTTCTGTATATTTCAGAGATTGCTCGGGATCATCTGCATCGAATGGGCACACATGTTGTTGTTGGCGGAGTAATTTCTCCGGTTCATGATGCATATGCCAAAAAAGAGCTTGCCAGCGCAACGCATAGATGTGCGATGTTACGATTGGCATTGCATAATAATGACTGGATTCGGCTGAGCACATGGGAGACCAGACAACATTGCTGGACCAAAACTCGCCTGAGCTTGCAGCACCATCAGAATCTGCTCAACTCCTTTCTATCTAATTCCAATGACATCAAACATCACTTGCAGATAGAAGACATGGAATGGATCCCAGAAAATGTAAAAAACAATTCAGACAATACACCGATACAAATCAAATTGCTATGTGGTGCAGATCTTCTGGAAAGCTTTGGCATTTGTGGACTTTGGCTTGAAGAAGATGTGAGTTGTATGTTTTTCGAAATTCTTCGAGATCCGTCGGAACTTGTCAAAATCTCGACTAGCGCGACTACAACATAATTTTGCTTATTTAGACTATTGCTCGAGTTTAATTTGAAAAATATTGCTAATTGTAATTAGCACATGTAAGACTAGCAAGTGCAAAGAAGTGAGTCAATTTTTATTTTATAGATTGACGCAATTGTCGGTGAGCACGGTCTTGTTGTCATTACTAGAGAAGGTTCCAATCCCAACAAATTTATTTACGATTCGGACATTTTGTCCAAGCATATGGTAGGTGCGATAAAAAATAAAATTCTACGATCTCTCGTTACGTTAAGTCTATATATAATGTGAGTAATGTCTTTTTTCTCATTTTTAGCACAATATCTGTATCGTAACCGAATGGATTCCGAATGAAGTGAGTTCAACGAGAATCAGACGAGCTCTGAAACGCAGCGAGAGCGTTAGGTACTTGTTGCAGGATTCCGTCATCGATTATATCTACAAACACGAGATCTACGACACAAGACCATTAGACACAACAATGTGAGTCTTAAATAAAGCTTGTCTAGATGGTTTTGTTTTTTTTTTTAGTAATGTTAAATCAGAAACATTTTTTATTAATGGTAATTTTTTAAATTTATTTTGCATATGTTCTTTCTGCTACATCAATTTTGTTATCTAAGTTATGAATTAAATAACACTGGAGAAAACCGTAGATTTGACAACTTTGGATGTTTCGACACATTGCCGACGAAAAACGAGAATTCTCGGTTTTATAAAATATGCGTTTGCAGATTACCCGTCGACAATATGTTTATCACGATTTTAATACAAATTACCGATTTATTTTTGATTTTATACATTTGTAGACAAATATTCCTATTAAAAATTTTTATGTAAAACAAACTGATAAATTAGAGTCGTGTATTTGTATACAAAATAGTTGATTTTTCGAAATTATTAAAAATACTTTTTTGTAGAAATGATGTATGGCAAAAACATTTTCAAATCAAATTTCGATTTATAACTTAACATCCGTAAGATATAATGTAGTTTTAGTTTTTTCAAAAAAGGATTGTTATCGACCAGTGTAATTTACTTCTCTTCGATTATTTAAATGTTTTTGACGGAGCGTAGATAAGATCTCGTGATTTACATAATCGCATCTTACGTTAAATCTTTTTTTCTTGAAAAAGATTTTGGAATCTTTCTCTTAGTTTGCCTAACCTTAATATCAATTACCTCTTTAGAAAAGAAATCGTACTTGTATCTTTTTGTTGATCCCTTTGAAAGTTTAAATTGTTTGATTTTCTATTTTTGTTTGTTTTAAAGTCATACTTTCTTTGGATTTAAAATGTATATTTTCCAATTGTTCTTAAAAGTCTACAAATTTTTGAGATGAAGAACACGCCCGTACATTTTATATAAGGTGTACGTAGGATGTTTCGAACTGATGACTGTGTATGTGTAATTATGAAGGCTCAGATAACTTTTTTCACGCTGCTTCTTTTTCTTCACCGTCATTACAGTGTTTTTGTAAAATAATTACACACATACATATTAAACTTTTAATGGGTGATCGTTCAAAGATATTGTGATAAGTACGATAGGTCTTCAAAACTATTGTTTATACTGTTTTGTACGAAGAAAATAGTAACTTATATTTTTATAATAATATTTATCATGAATTATAAAAAAAAAGTACTTTGGTAAATGTGTAAAAAATACAGGTCATTGAAAAATTTGTTCCAAATGCAAGTACAACATTGTACTGAATGTCTAAAACCGAGTAAGTTTTAGTTTGGTACGACTATCTGTCTCTCTTTTTTATGAGAGCTGAAACGGTCCTATTTTTTATTTCAATTCCTTTTACACTACGCTTGCATTTCGAGAATTTGTGGTTCTAGCAGTTTTTGTTTGTCGTTATTTGTTTAGATTCTCGAAAATGGGAGAAATACTATCTTTCTCTTGTGAGAGCTGAAACGGTCTTATCTTTATATCGTAACCATCACTAACTCAAAAGCCAACTTGTATTCCAAAAACATGTCGACAATCTTAAACAACACTTGTACTTTGTACTTACCGATTCACGTCGCAATGCTCCTCTTCGACGTGCGGATACAAATACTTCTGTCTCGTACTTCAACTGCTTTCTCATCAACGGTTATATCTTTCAAAGAGGGAGCAAACGAGACACTAGCACTCATCTTGAAATATTTTTCAAGAAAAGAACTATAGCTTATCGGTACTATCTTTTATATTTCAATTTGTTTTTACACTTCGTTTGCATTTCGAGATTTTCTGGTTCTATTAACTTGTTTATCGTAATTTGTCCAGATTCTCGATAATGGATAAAGTGCTCTCATACATGTGTTCATATGGTTTTGTTAGAACTTGTTGTGTATTATGCTGCACAAAATTCTACAATTGCAGCTTCTACAATTCTTGTATTGCTTTTGTATTTTTGCAAAGTGAAAAACATGATAATGTTTTCAGTTGTGCTTTTTTTTATGTACGAAAAATAAACTTGCCATTTTTTTCTTTTTCTCGTACATTTTGCATATCTCTCTATTTAAGTGATTGCCGATCTTATATCGGGACTTCCGCTTTGGGTGTTGATGTTGAGCTTTGACACTTTTTGCTCTTCTCTCAATGTCACTTCCATGTTGCCGCAGTCGCAACAAGGCGTTCTATTGTGTCTCAGCTCAGTAAACATCAGCGATATTGGTTTTGATCAGGTGGTCCACTTCTAACGATGTTAATAACACCCGCTTAATTGTCTAGAATCCCTCATGGCACGTATCATACTCTCACCTATGTCAGTTATGATTATCTTCCCGTGATGTTTGTCGATCTAACAAAAGGCTGAAAATTGTATCGTGCCAACGATAAAAAACGTATATGGTGAATATATAGTGATGCAGGTGTCTAGTTGGTTTCGCTAAGTTTATGCGAAACCCATTGTCCAAAGTTTTGGACACTAATTTGACCGTGAGTTTTCTCAGCATCACGAATACGGTTCTGTAGCGTTATGTTTCAAAATATATTGTGTGCGATGGCTCGTTCAACCTCAGTTCGATTAGGCATTAGAACAGTCGTCGGTAGAGAAGCTTAGAAGAGAAGCTCACAGGCTTCGTGCAACAGGGCGTCTAGTAGTTGATTTGGCGCGCTCGTATCGGCCTTTTATATTTTCTGTTGACAATTTCACGAGCGTTAGTTCTTTGAGATTATGGTAATTTTTTATTTATTTGCATTATTTTGAACACAATATTAAATCCATTTTGTAAAAATAATAGTTTCGTGTTACTCGGCTTCTGTGTAATGTACGTATTACATTTGGAACTCATTTTTCACTGACTATTTATTACGTGATTATAAGAACGTGTTCAATCTTTTTCTAGTATAATGTTATTATTTTTATTATAAAAAGTTTGAATATATCCAATAGATATTCATTATTATTATCATTAAATTTATTACCAGTGTTAGTTCTCTAGTATAATGTTGTTATTGTTTTATTATTATAAAAAACTGAATATTTTTATCAGTATATGTTTATTATTATTATTATCATGAGAGTTATTACAGATGTCAATATTAGTTTTATTATTTTTACATTGTACAAAAATGTGTGTACATATATAAATGTACATATATAAATATTGCAAAATTTTGCACTAGTGTTTCTATTATACGGTTATTCTATAATCTGATTCTTTTGGCTTTGGTTTTTACATATCAAAAATAGGTTTTGTCTCATATGGTCTTAAAAAATATTTATTGTACTTATTGTTTACACAGTTGGCGCAATAATTTTGTTGTTTTCTTTATCAATAAGATGTGTTAATGTAATTACATTAATGTAATTAAAGAATTTTTATTAAAAATATAAAAAATGAAGTATGTATGCACATTGATTTACTTAAAATTATTTTTATTTAAAAATCTTTTTAAGTGTTTTACTTTTAAGGAATGTTATCTTTATGTAATGTTTTAAGCAATTAAGTTTAAATCTTCTCACATTATTGTATGTATATATTTTCACGCACGCGCGCGGCGTGCGTGAATGAGTGAGTGAGTGTGTGTGAAAATCATAAGAAAAAATGTGTCATACTGCGCACAAATTTAATTTTGCAACGGTATAATTAATTCTGTTTTTCATTATGAAAAAAACTATGTTTTCTAAATAAATAAATGTTTTTCACGCTGCTGCTGCCGATTTGGACACTGAAGTAAGTTGGAATTGTCGTCGCCGAACGCGAACAATTACCTGCACATAGATTCCCGATATCTAAGCGCATTCTTAACGCCATCGCCCAGCGATGTGACCATGGACTCACCGAGCCCGATCGAGATTGCCGCGTCCATCGATGTGCCGGACGCGGTTGTGCTGCGTAGGAATATGCAGAATGCGGTTGGTGACGTACTCGATGTGGCTCGCGAGCAGTTCATTAGTAGCGCGATCGGCAATAACGTTGACAACGGTAATGTCAAGCACGTAGTTAAAGCCGCGTACCCTGGCCAGGCGAAACAGATCATCGCCAGCGGAACCGGCATTGCGCGAATTGTGGACGAGGTAGGTCCGCTTGACAAGCCGATGGCGATGTCGCAGCCTGATTCTTCGCCGCAAGAAGGTCACGGGGTGACCGTAAACGACAAGGATGAGGCTGCGATTGGACAGGGGGAGGTTTCAGGTTTCAGATCGGGAATTGCTCACGTAGATCTAGATCCCAACAACGATACAGCGGTAACGATCGAACTTAGTTTTTCGAGTTCCAGCGAATTGACGTTGAAAGATCGCAGATCGGCGAGCGTCGCTGATGGTAAAAGAGAATCGGAAATCGTGAAATCAAAAGAAATTGTCGATGTAAATATAGATTCGAGTAGGATAGTGAGAACACAACCCGGCCCGTCGAGTGAATTGGTATCGAAAACAATTCACGGATTGTTAGATGATAGCGTAGCGAAAAGTAAAACGGATCCGCGATTTAAATCAGATGTTGCTGACGTAGATTTAAGTTCGAAAAAAGATCGCGCGAGAGCAACGCAGAGTTCGAGCGAACTTCGACTGGGAGAATGTTGTTGGCCCACTAGAGAAAGCGCCGTGAACGATAGCGATAGTAAAATGATGACTCCCGAAAACGAATTGATAGATGTAAGATTAGATTCGGGCGATACGAGCGCGTTAGACGAAAGATACAGATCGACGATAGATGTTAGTAATGACGAGGTAAGTTCCGATCGAGTTAATTTTAGTAACAAGAACGAACCGAGGGAGAATTATCGATTGACGGCTAATAGCGACGTGGAATTAGATTATATCGATGCCGACAACGTTGTAAAGGTTCAACCTCTTTGTAGTCGCGGCGTAGTCACGTTAAAGAAGGATCGTTCTAGGGTTGACGGACATACGAATGACGGCATCAAACCCGACGAGACAGAAACCAAGCACAAGAACAATACAGATCTTGATGCGATAGATAATACAGAATTGATTAAAATTAATTCAGAGATCACGAGCGATGAGATTGCCGCGGCTAGCGCGGAAGTTGCTTCACGAGAGGACGGAACAATCGACGACGAAAATTCAAAGACGACCTCGTCAGCGAATAACGTCTGGATGACGTCGTTGGACGGTCGTCACGAATGCGCTCTCTCCGATTTTAGCGTGGACAAGGAAGATTATCAGCTCAGTCGTTCGTCGGACGAAAATGAGAAAGAAGGGAACGGATCTGCTGTCGAGTCGATTAAACACGCTGACGACGGTCAAGAAGTTGTTGCGACGGACGAAATAGCTGATGTTAGAAACACCGACAACAACACCGGAAATAATATTCCGTTGTGCGGCGGTGACGTATCGGTCGATGCGATGATTGACAAGAGCCAGAAGAAGGTGCTCGAATGTCCCATGACTGAGAAGATCGATAGTGGAAGCGCAACGTCTTCCGTAGAATTAGGTCGATCGGACTTTGTTATCGCGGAAAGATCACTTCCGGAAATAGACAATAAGATTAGCATTGAAAATGAGGATCAGACGAAAGTTTCCAGGATCGTGCTGTGCGAGAAAACGAACAGGATGGAGAAGAGATCGGAGATTGACGCGTGTTCTTCGGAAAAAACGGCATCTACCGATCAGATATTCGAGATAGACGGTAAGTACCTGAAGTCGATCGTGAACTCGCGCAAGAGTCCGCGAAAGATCAGAGATGATCAGGCTCGCGATTTCGAGATCGAGAAACAGTCTGAAGTGTTTCGTGCTTCTTCTTCCGTGCAAATGAAAAATTGTGAGAAAATCAAGGAAGAAAAAACGATGACGCGCGATGCCGATGCGGAGAGAAAGAATCAAACAACGAACGATCGAGAGGTATCATCACGCGCGGAAAAGAACTTTCAAGACTCTTCGCAAGATTTGATTTCCACAAAGGTGGAGAGTCTCAGAAACGCAAAGTACTTTGAAAACGGAGAAGACGAACGCGAATGCAAGATCCCGATTGGTTCCAGTAGCGACAAAGAAGAGTTAAAAACTTCGAGATCGAATTCCACGAGGACGAGGAAAAAAGTTGAAGATCTGCGAATCGACGAGAGAGAACTCGATCTCAAGAATCAAGACAGATCTGTCAGCGATCACGAGACCTCACGGTCTTCTGAGAAAGTTTCTCAAAAGTTTTCCAAAACGAATGCAAAGAGTCCAAAGAGAGACGCCAAGAAGAACAAAATATTTTCGAGAAGCGACGAAATGAGAGATTACGATCGTTCCATTAACGATCGCGTTATTTCACAACTCGAAGAAGTTTTTCACGATTCGTTGAAAAAATCGGCAATCAAGACGGAAGACGCGACCGGAAGTTCCGACGTTGAAACGAAAAAGCAAAATCGAATTGTTGACAATCGAGAGAGAACGCGATCCGAAGAAATCTCTCGACATCCGTCGAGAACGTCTTCCACGAAGAGTCTGAGAAAGACTCAAGATCAAAAGAGCGCGAAGATAAATGACATGAAGGAACAAAAACAGGAGCGACAAGTGATGGAATTGGCGAAGAACGTCGATAACAAGACGAAGCGCGACTTCAACGAAATTAAAGACGTTTACACGAGAAAAGTGCGACGTTACAACGTGCCTCTTCAGGGCAGTTTGGACTCGATGATCGTGTCGGACGAGTTGTCCTCGCAAAAGCCGAAGAAAGACGACGCCTTTTCGAAGAAGTCGAAGAGCTACGAGTCGATCAAACGTATTCAGGAGGTGTTTCTGGGTGTGCCGTCGACTAAGGCCAATAACAGCGATTCGCAGATCGACATTCCGGACGAGTTTTGCTCGATCTGTTGTTACATGAACGAGATCACCTTCCGAACGGAAGAAGAAGTGAGCTCGAATCAAGAAACGTTTTACACTCTCCGATCTACCTGCAGTTCTCTGGGCGACGACGATTCCATCGAATGCGACATCTGCGGACCGCTCAATCTTCAGGAATCCGCGGATAATATCGAGGGTAAAGTACAGGAGATACCTTGCGAGCTCTGCAGAATCTGCGATGTGGTGAATGGCGGTTACGATCAAGACAACTCCACGTTGCCACCGGCGGACAAGTACGCTTTCAAAATTCCTGAGTCGCAGCAGGACGACGGTGATTGTTTCGAGATCGAGAACTGTGGCTTCCAAGGTAACGTCGAACCCGCTGACGATCAAAACAAAACTTGCGAGAAGGACAAACCGAAGGAAAGAGATCAGGAAAAACCGGCGACGCAGCCTCTGTTTATTCGCTCGTCGCAGAACAGAGATCAGCCGCGTGAGTTGTACTTCATACCCAAGGACGAAATTGCCATCCTGACAAGCGGAACCAGAAAAATCGGTCGCAAAGGATCTTTGTTTAGAAAGAAGGAGGATTTTGGCGGAAACGTGCAGGACAATAGACGATACTCTTCCGTGGACAGTCTTCAGTTGGCGAAAATGGCCGCGAAGACGAGCGACAAGATGCTCAAAATCGCCATCGAGGATCCCACAGTGATCGGATCGGCTGATAATCTGCGATTATCAGGTGACGACAAGAAACCCGTGTCGTTACAGAGATCGGCCGATGACGATGTGGGCTGTCCGAAGTCGTCCGCCGACAATCTCGACTCGTTGGCGGAGAATCAGGAGAAAGAAATCGAGATCGAGGAATCAGGTCGGAAACAAAGTATTCGAGATAAGGAGGCGGTGAAAATGATTCTCACGCAGCACGGAATTAAGATTATCAGCGAGAAGGAGACCGCTCTGTAATTTATAAAATAAGAATTTGCGAGAAGCAATTACGAGAATTCAATTAAAACGAAAAATGAATGAAAATTATTTTACGAGTACTTCGATTAGCTAGAGAACTTTAGCAAATTGATAAAAATCATCTATTGAGAGAAATTTGATATATATTTGATTAATATGTGCCAATCGAGAGATATATTAACGCCTGGTGCCAAATGTGTATATATTACATGCAGACGATATATATTATTATTAAAGTAAAATATATATAAAATAAAATATATAAAAAATACATATAAAAAAGAAAGATCCTTTCGTAGATTATGCAACTCGAACATGTGAGCAACGATGAGCGCGCGAGATTTGTCCGCAGCGACTCACGAAGTGCAAAAAACGATTATAGAGAGAGAAAAAAAAATTTGATCTATTCGATTTACACGGATTAAAAAATGTCAGAGAATCTGTCGGAGAAAACCTGTAGCAAGTAACTCTCGTTCAAGCGGTTTTGCGGAATTTTTTAAATTAATTTTATTCTTGTACCTTCCCCTTTTCTCTCTTTCTCCACTTTCATCTTGTGTAATTGGAAAATTTTACTCAAACCATAAATTTAACGTGTGTGATCTTAACGCAAGGTCGCAAAAGACAAATAATTTTACGTGTATATGTCGACGATATATGTGGTGATGAACTAAATGTATTTACGATAACACAGAATACTCTACTTCTCCCTCAAGAAGATGTATAAACAACACAAATTATTATCTCAAATAACGTGATGTATATGTGCGTATATAATTTATTGCGTCGAGATATTGTGTGGTTTGGTTTGAAACGTTTTACGCGCAAGTTTACGAATACATATATATTGTATAAAAATTATATTGCGATATTTTGTGTCTTATAAAATCGATTTCACATCGATAGTTCGGTCATCGATAGGAAGGACCAACGGCCGAAATTGTTATTCTCGATAAAAAAAAAAAAAAATAATAATAATAATAATCGGGAAATTGTTGGATGGTTTATGTGAAGCGAACGCTAAACCGCGCGCGTATTCTCGTTACAGATTTCGCGCGAATCGCACAATTCGGAATACGCGCGCGCGCGGTCTGGCGCCAGCTTGAGATTTGCAAATGAATATATAACAAAGAGACAATCTTTAATAATAGTAGTCTATATTGCACAGAACAATTACATAGTTGTAAGTATTATCCAAAGGAATTGTATCGATTGAAGAAAAGCGCTTTAATCTCCGCCATTATTTATTACACAGAACGCTTCGAGAAGATTTATTTATTTTTTGAGCACGATATTCCAGCCAGATATATTTTACAGTCTTCGTACGTTCTTCCAGAGAATCCGAATCGGTTGTTCTCGTTAATAACTACATTGGGAATGCGGTGGCGTAGTACAAACTCACTGTAAATTTTTTTTTTTTTAATTTTTTTATTTTATAGCTATTGCTCTCTTTTTCTCTCCCTTATTTCCTCCACGACTCGCTTGACATGTCCTTCTTTCGATAATGGTAGACGAGATAGTTCTTAGTAGCCCGATTCTAGATCTAACACGTTGCCGTAAAAAAAAACCCTTAGTTCTAGAACGCTAACGTTTATTGGAATTGCAGTGTCTTATCGTCTTTAAGAGAATGATCTCCTCTCTCTCTCTTTCTCTCTCTCTCTCTCTCTTTCTCTCCTCTTAGAGATCTTATCGTTTGATTTTTAGTAATTTGTAGACTCTACAACTTCTCCTCCTGTCCACTTCCGTGTTGCGTACAATGTCTGATATAAAAGTATCAAGTGCAAAATTGATTTTTTTAAATAAATTATGTTTCTTCGCCACAGTTGAAACTGGTGTGTTGAAAAAAAGGAAGAGGGATGTGTATGGGGAGAAAAGGTGCGAGTCGAGATTTTTACTTTTATATCAGATATTTAGAATTTGTGCCCTTTCGTTCGATTCTGCATGTAACTGCTTCGATCTTTGCTCGTATCCTTGTACGAATATAAATATTTATTACATTTTGAATTTTTAACCCTCCTATGCGCATTTTGTTGCAACACATCAGTCCGATATATATACTTTGCGTTTTCCAGTTAGAAAAAAAAAAAAACAAAACTTGCTCTTTCCGATCTCCTAAAGTATTACGTAACGCGTGACTCGACCATTGCGTGCTGTCTTTCAATTTGTTGCGATGGCAAACGTTTTTTAAAAAGCTTTAGAGCCTGAATGAACCCGAGGCAAAAAAAGAAATGAACCCAAGTTGACGCGATACGGTAGTCGATATGTGTTTTTTTTTTTTTTTCAGTTCTGATGTGAGCATGTAACGTGTGTTTTCCAGGATTCAACAAACCCTGCATGCCTACTGTAAGACAGATAGTTGACTGTCTTATTGCTACTCGACCAATCCGAGCCTGTGGTACCCGGCTTCTTCTTTCTGCTGTAAATACTAATCGCGATATTGACGATGCTAATCGGGACGCTAGCAATAGCAACAACTACAACTACAACTACAACAACAACAAAATCAACAACAGTAACGACAACAAGAGCGCTGAAAGTTTGAAAACCGAAATGCGAATTACGCATCTCGATCGTTCCTACGTATGATTCCGCTGCAAAATCAACATGCTATTTTTTTATACATATCTGAGCTCCAAGTTCCCTTTTCCTTCCGCTCCCTCCCTCCCTCCCTCTCTCCCTCTCAAAAAAAGAAGAGATTTAGATTTTTTCAAATATTCAATCGGATAAATTGGTTATATATATATATTTTTTTTAAATTTCCGACACGGAAATTTTACTGCGAGTAAACTAGCGGTTAATTAATTTTTTTATCTAACGTTTTTGTTTAAATTCCTGAATATGAAAGTGCGAAGTGGTTTAATATCCGTAAACCTCTAATTTACGGAGAGAATAAAAATATATATAATATATATAATATATATTTATATATATAATATATATATATATTTATATATATAATATATATATATATATATATTTAAAAAAAATTGTTATAAAAGTATATTCAGAAAGAACTACGAATTATTTAACATATACACAGATAAAAAAAAGAGAAAGATATACTATTAAATATAATTGATTAATCGTTGTGTTAATTATGTAATAAGTATAAACATTACGTGTAATGATGACACACAACTGATACCAAATGTAGAGTTGTATTGTAATACAGCTTACTTACGACAACAAATTTGTGATAAGCAGCGGTTTTCTTAATAATTACTATATTTATATCGTTAAACACGGTAATACGCGTTAAAACTAATTATACAGTTATATCTATAAGTATAATAAACTATACACACGGGAATTAAGCGAGCAAAATATATATGTAGTAAACTGTATAGCAAGCTGTGTACATGTTTGTATATAGGAAAACATGTATCTTTGTACATGTAAGAGGAATTATATTATAAAGAGAAGAGAAAATACAAAAATACTATTTCAAAAACTTTATTTTTTTTCCTCGTTTTTTTCTCTCTCGATTTATTGTACTTATGATTTAAAAATATCGTTCACAAATTTCATCACAATTTTCATCACACAAAAATCAATTGAAAATCACTTAAGTCAATTATATTCCACACACACGCATACGCATCAAACATTATTATTATTATTATTACAATATTTTGTGTGACGTAATATTGCACTTTCATCAAAAAAAAAAAAACAACAAAGTGAGAAACTTATTACTTGTTTTGATTTTATAATTTTTTACGCACACAGTAATATGAGAACTATTCGTAAGAAAAAATATTTGTAAGAAATTGTTAACAACTGTCTGAGCAAATTGATTTTGTAAATCTATAAAAAAACAAAAATTATAGCAATATTTTAAATTAAATTTAGTTTAAATTTTTGTAGGTGACATCACGAAAATTTCGTGTGTGACTTTAGACTAATTAAAGAGAACATCAACAAAACCAATATCCACCCAATTATGATTAAAAAACCGTTGAAAACTTCCCATTCGTATATGAGTTTGCTTTTGTCCATAACTTGTCTCATGGATATGGACGGCAAAGTTGTTGGCAAGATATAGCTAATATAGCGAAGTCCTCGTGGCATTCCCTCGACCGGCCATAAGCCACCTGTTGTATTTAATCAAGTAATAAATTAACATAACGTAAATTTAACAATTTGTTACTAGACACGAATCTTGATTGAGGTATTAAGTTGAAAAAGTGCAAAACTTTACATTAAAGGTTTTTTATGTTGTCAGTATATAACATGACGTTATGTGTGTATGTGCAGCATACACTTTATAAGAAGAAGAAATACTTTATAAGAAGACTCAGAAGTAACTAACTTCATAAATTCGCAGAGCAAGTATATGCGAGTTACATAGTAAATAAAACTGAAAAAATAATGACTCACCGGTGAGTAGTACAAGCGGCCAGAAGCTGCCGGCTGAAGCGTAATGCGCCATTGTGTGATTCGAACACGTAACAGAGATGAAAAAACCTAATAATACAATTATACATTTAACTTTTTCTTTATATTAAATTTCAAAATGCGAAATGCAAAACATCATACTTTACCATACATCAGTCCGCCAAGACCCATGAGAAACACAAACAGAGTTACAATGTACAAGGAACCTTGACAATCTAAACCCCATACAGGAAATGATAAGCACATTATTATCGCGGTGTGAACGCATATAATAACGGACTGAGTTAAGAAGTGAGACAGTAAGATCTCCGCAGTCTTGACTCCTGTGTGAGACAATCAAGTTTGCCTGATTATTGTGTTTATCAGAAATTGGAGAATAAATATTTCGAAGTTTTATTGTTACGATTTCGCAAACACGTATAGACGCGTAGTTAGAAACCGATGGGATTACCTTGAACCAGACTTCGGTTCCAAACACCTTCCGCTCGCTCCGTGATAAGCAAGGAACTGGACACGTAAGTGGCAATAAAAAAAGCAAGTCTATAATCAAGAAAATTTAAAAATTTGAATAATTTTGCATTAATATTCATAGGTGAATTTATGACGATGGATTTGTGTTTTTGTTACAAAATCGCTTACGTCAGGAGATATACCGGCGCCATAAATTGTTTGTAGCTGGTATAATTGTTGCTGCCGTATATAGGATTTTCAAACTGAAAATAATCGTCAATTTACTGTGTGTGTGTGTCACTTTGTGTGTCACAAATTTAAATTACAACACAGAAATATATACTACATCTTACCCGAATGGGTAAGTTGGTGTATTTTTCTGGATATCCGCAGCTCGTTAGCACATCTTGAAATATCTCGAAGAAATGATCCATCAGCGTTTTCTTCACAATAACTCCAAGATGCAAGTCTGCAAAAAATTATATTTGCGTGAGAACTTTTGTCGAACTTTTCGGAGTTGTTTTTGCGATCTTTTATTTATATCACCTCTGCGTGCGTGTACGTACCACTCATATCGAGAAAAATGTTGATCTGACTGGCTGTGATGTCAGCTAAATATTCGCTTGTATTGACCGTGGCAAGTGACACGTCCAGTCGGGACAGCAGAGCTTCGGAAAAATTTGAACCGAAGTGCATCACGCCGCTAACTTTTCCCTTCTGCACAGCAGCATTTGCCTCGGTGATGTCGTTGTAATATTCCTGAAAAACAAATACAACGGTTACGTACTTGTTTTTTTTTATTGAAAAAGATGTGGAAGCGGAGGTTTTACGTCGTTTTTTCAATTTATATAAATGTAAAATAAATACGTGCGAAGAGAGACGCGTTATTTAATAAAAACGTTCGTTGTGCAGACACATATACGTACACGATCACATGACACGTATTGTATGATACCTGTTCTAAGATGGTATCCTTATAATTGTGTATGAACCTGCAACTGAGATTGCTCCAGTTGCACTCCGGTATATCGTTTACTTCGTTGTACCATATGTTGCCGATATCGTTGCCGTAATCGCAGTTGCCGGCTTCGTCGTTGACGATTCCGATTTTCAAACCCTTCGGTTCACCGCCAACCCCGATGAAAAACGCGGACACTTGCAATAACGGGAAGAATACCGCGAAAACGAGTCCTCTGAGGAAATGCATGTTAATTCTTAGCAGATATTGTGTTTTGTGTTTAAGAAAGTAAATGAAAAAGCGAACACAAATTTACACAGAGCGTTATTAGTGAACAATTGAATTTTTAAGTACAATTTTTTACATAGTCTTGTGCTCTGAAAAAAAAATTCATTAACCGTAAGTACTTACGAATAATAGCGAAAAAATTGTATGATGTTCTTTGCCATTAAAGCCTTGAATCTTCTCAATGACGAAACTTGATCGCGGGTTCTTTGATACCTTGAAGTTTTATCCTTGACAGACATTTTTGTTGACGATAAAAAATAATAGCATTTATGTTGTTGTTTTTTTTTTTTTTATAACAAATTGTTTTCTATATGTATACCTCTGAGGAGATATTTTTATTAATATTACTGTTGTTGTCGTCTACTTGAGCGTTGTTTACATGTGTGACAGCTGTGAGTCTGTTTGTCTGCATCTGGCTGAGAGTTAGAAACGCTTCTTCTAAAGACTCGGTTTGAAATCGGTTCAACAAATGTTGCGGTGACGATTCCGTCAGCAACTCACCCTCTCTCAGCAAACCAATCTGTACGGCATTAAAATAATGCGATATTCGGTTTCACGTGGTAATTTTGCATTAAAGGAATGGAATTTTTGTTGTAGCACAGGAAACGCACATGTTCCTTCTTGAACACGCGGGATATTTTTTCCAGCGGAGTTTTTGGACCGAAAAAGATGTGACAAAATATATATCGCGAGACTCACCTTATTCGCATCCTTAGCCTCTTCGATGTAATGTGTCGTAATGAGCACGGTAGTGCCTTCTGTTTGCGTAATCTTGATCAGATAAGTCCACAAGCTGCGAAAGGAGAGCGTGTACTCTAAAATATTTATCTATCATTTCTAATTGACGATGTGCGTTCAAAGAAAAAGCAAAATCTGTATACTTTTCTCTCAAAACTGGATCTAGGCCCACGGTGGGTTCGTCCAAAATTAAGAGCTCAGGCCGATGTATTAACGCGGCCGCGAAGGAGACTCGTCTCTGTTGACCGCCGCTCATATTCTTCACCAGATGATTCGCCGAAGGTAGCTGAAGTAGATCCGTAAGAAAATCCTGTCTCTCTTCTTAGAAAACCGTATAAGAGATAATCGATTATTTATTTATAAACACTGTAACCTTTATGCGCGTTGATAATGTTTGATAAATAACGCAATATTGTTTATATCAACGTTCAAAACAGGTGTTTAAAAATTGCATTATATATTAATTATTGTTATTTCAAATTATTATTAATAATGCTATTATTAATTCTTCGCGGACAGACATGGGTCTCCCAGACTCAAAAATTGCGCATCGGCGTCTCTGAGGTCTGTCCGCGAAGTGTTAATAATATTATTATTTTATAAACATTTTTTTTTCGAATGTACACGCTTGTTCATGTGTAATGAGTTTATTATCTCCGAGATTAAAAATTGTTCCAAGGTGTTTTTTTTTTTTTTTTTGAGAAATGATGTCAAAAATCAATGAATTCGTTCAAATAAGATGTTGCTCTACCGATTTCGACGTTATCGAGCCCGTTGATTCTGCCGAAGTAATACAGAGCATCGCTCACGGTGAACTCGCCGGTCAGGGAGATGTCCTGCGGCATGTAACCGACTCGAGGTCCGGGAATTCCGGAACCCTTGCTGCCCGGTGTTCCTCCCAACACCCACACCTCTCCGTTGTCAAGATGTCGAACTCCAACGATGCAGGACAGCAATGTGGTTTTGCCGCATCCGCTGGCACCCAGCAAGGCATATCTGTTTCGCGCAGAAGAAGAAGAAAGGAGATCGCTTAAACTCGGATCGATACCGCGCGGGAATGCATAAAACCACAGATATCTCTTTCAGTCTTGTGGTAAGTAGTTCGCAACGAGACTTTCCTATATGAGCTCTCTCTCTCTCTCTCTCTTTTTCTCTCTCTCTATCTGTCTTCTTTTATGTTTTCAATGCTTACTTATCTACTCCGCACGTTTGCACTCTATTGAAGAACAATGGCATTTATGGTTTCTCTCGCAAATTGTAATCAGTTCGGACGGATGGCAAGTACGGCTCGTTAATAAAATAGCCGTCATTGCAATCACAGACAATCTAGCACCTTGGATCATTAAATCCGGGTAAGGACATAACGATATACTCGTGGACAAAACCGATTAGTGATCAACTTACGTGCGCACAGTGGTGCGTAGGCAAAAAGGCGTGAATTTTTCAACAAATTTGCGCACAAAAAATGTTTAAGCACGCGCGAAGATAATAAGAGATGTTTCCATATTCGACGTGTCCGCGCGAAGTAATTTCAAAATTTTTATCACAACAGGACTTATATATACATCGCTCTGAGAAAAACTCTGACGTATTTGTATAATTGAGACGTCACACACATTAAATTTTTGGCGTTAATGTAGAAAATTATTGTCGATAGGAAGAGAAGAAGAGAAAATATCACTTGAAGTCTTCGAACTGAATAAAAATTTGAAACTTCAAGCGTATGTTTTCTTATAATCTCTCTTAAGCACCACTGTGCGATTCTTTGTTCTCGATAAATCGGAATAATAACGGCGGACGTGGAGCGCGACATGAGTCGTTTGGTGCGACCTGATAAAATCATCAAGCGATCCCGCAACTTGCTTCAGTTTTACCGCGGAATAATGCTCATTCAAATCATCGTGACCTCGCTGCTCGCGGGAAGAGTTCTCTCTTCCGTGTCAGTTCAAGGATCGATATCAATGGTCAATAACGACACGATGATGATATATTTGCACACGGATAAATCGAGTGTCGATGACGATTCCGACAAGTTAATGAGAAAGTTACACGAGGCAAAACCAAACCCGCGAATACATCTCGTAGTCTACTTGGGCGAAAGAATTGTCGCGATCGAGGGCGAACTTGAAAATTATCTCAGTGAGTTGACACGATTAAAAACAAAAAAAAAAAAAACTTTTGTTTTAAAACTCGGTCTTGTGTTTAAACAAATTAATGAATTATCATTTATTTTGTTTCTATTTGGTTGGTTTTTTTTTCAGCTTCGATTTTCAATTCGAGCTTTTTTGTCGCGCATATGTGTGCACTTTAACAAGTACACACACACACACACTAGCTGTGTGTAGAGAATGTATTTCACAATGTGTATAAATTTTATATTTGTGCGAGAAACTTGAATTAAAAACTTAAAAAAAAACCTCTTGTATTTTTTGTGGAGAATATATTTCACAATGTGTATGAATTTCACATGTGTGTAAAAATCTTTAATTAAAACTTAAAAAAATCTCTTATATTTTGCGTGGAAAATGTATTTCACAATGTGTATGAATTTCGTATGTGTGTGTGAAAAACTTTAATTAAAACTTAAAAAAAACTTCTTGTATTACTTATTCACTTACTAAACGCTTGCTCTTTTCAGAATTTGACAAAACAACTTGGAAAAACGTTGTTGAAGCGACTGACACGACTAATTATCGCATAAGCACGAGACGATTTGCATTAAACGAAAATGTTTGTAAAACTTTTTGTAGCAACGATGTTGCAAGGCTAACTCCTCGATCGCGTGACGTAAACAAATTGGTAAATTTTTTTATATATAATTTTGCTAGAGATGTGTTTTAAAAAAACGTAAAGATTAAGATGTAAATTAAGTTTAAATATATAAGATATAAAAACTTGAATTTATATAATTGAACAGGTTGACGGTATTGATGACGTTCTTCGATCTATAATAGTAATATTGAAACAACGCAATGACAAGATGAGTCATCGAAATTTACGTCAAACACATTCTCCCGTGCTCGAATATCATTTTTCGACTTATCCTTTCACCGCTGATCTTTTGCTCGAAAATGAAAGATCGGAGTCGACAAGGGAGCTGGAGATGTTTCTCGATTACGCCAAATCTGTTCAAGATCACTTGTCGTCATTAGCTAAAGCGCTCGATGCGAAATGGCGACAATCGCGCGATCAACTCAACGAGTCTTTGAGACGAAGGCTCTTGACTTTACAGAAACAAGCGCAATTTATTTTGAACAATTTGACGGAACGCAAACGTTACGAAGAAAAACCGAGTAAGAAGCGTCGCACTTCGCTGAAAAGAAACGAGTCAAATGTCACAGATTCTAACGTTACCGAAATTAAAAAATCGGCTACGTCAGACGCGGGACGAGAAGACGAAAAGAAAGAATTGAAGAACGTTGACGAAACAATTGAGGAAACAAGTAATCGAACCGCGTCGCTTTCTGCGCATCGCGATTTAACAAACGGAAGCAGAGACGAAGTAAAGATTGAGACAACGACAATGTTGGATAAGGATGACAAAGACGATGTTAAAGCATCAAACGAAACAGCAGTCAATGTAAACAATTTTCATGAAGTTCGCAATAAAACTCGAAAAAAGAACGAGGACGAGACCAAGAACAAAAGCGTTTTACAAACGGGAAGGCGATTTCTTAATTATCCGAAATCAACGAGAAACTTTAATTACGACTTTGCGAATACTATCGCGACAATTAACACATTTCACGGACTTAAAAATAACACCGTTACCGGCAACATCTTCGAGGTAACAACAAAATCTCGAAACAAAAATGTCGTTCCTAAAATTGCTTTTGTTGATCGAAAAACAAAAACCGAACGAAAGTTCGCAAAATCTTCTCACGGAGATGACGCGAACGAAGGATTCGAAACTCGAACAAATTTGCTCAATCAAATGGCAAATATTACCGCGAAATTTTTGCCGAGCGAAACTGCGACAAGCGTTTTGAAAAAAACCGACGAGAAAAATCGAATTAAGACGGCAATTACGACAATTAAAGTTGCGGAAAACTTTATGAAACACAGTCTCGGAATTAATGACAAACACGATCGCGATCACGCGTTACCGCAAAACGTTACGGGCAATTATAATGTCGAGACAAATGCGCAAAACAAGACGTCGGCGATTATAGACGAGATACTGAAAGCGGTGGAACAGGTCTTGCCGTGAATATTCTTTTGTTTAAATTATCGCACATATACTTGGAATCACACGAGTAAGTTGAATTGATGATTACATTGATCACATATATAGTCAATCAAATTACATAATAAATCTCGGATTACTTTTGCACCGAGACTACTTTGACATCTCGCGCTTCTTCGTTCCTTTTCCCGTCTTTTCTTAATTCATTAACGTTGTTTTATTGCGACGAGACTCGAGATCGGCCAAATGCGCAAGACTATAAATAATCAAAAAAAAAAAAAAAAAGTAAGAGCGAAGGAGGTCAAGATGCGCGAGGTGTGTTAAGTGATCTTTTTTCCTCTTAACTTTTTCACTTGCAAAAAAACTTCGCGTCGCCTTTCGCGATCGAAAAACTTCGATCTTTTTTTTTTTATTAAACAGAGGACGGAGAAAACTGAACAACAATCGACAACCACTTACATGGATGCTCGGGAGACCGTCATGTTCAGACCTTTGAGCACCACTTTCTTTCCGTAAGACTTCGCGGCGTTTCTTACGACTACCGCTTCTTCCAGCACCATCTTGCGAAATGAAGAGGATCGTTCGCTCAGCAACTGATCTGTGTGACACATCATTCATTTAAATAATTTGATAAGTTTTTATTTAAATAATTTATAGTATTTTCTTATGTATATATGTAATAAATAGGATAGTATTTCTTTCTTCGCGAGAGAGAATATATAGATAATTAGACGACAACACACTATAGCTATTTCTACAAGCTAGTTCGCAACTTTGTAAGAAATGGTGCGATTTTTTACAATTTGTTTGAACGTTGCAGTGTGGTGAAGTATATGTTTACAGTTTGTTAAAAAACCTCGTTTAACTTATACCTCGTTATATTTATACTCTACAGACGTAACAAGTTTGAATTCTGCACAGAAGCTGTAGATGGACGTAAATATAAGAAATTAAAACTTTCTCGCGCGTAAAGTTTTATCTCGCAAAACGTTGTGCTGTTAGATACGCAAAATGGACATTTTTGAAATATATAAATGTAAGTTTTAAATACATATATAAATGTAATTTACACGTTCTATATAATAGTTAAAACATTTATGTAATATTCTTCCGAACGTGTATATAAGCTAAGAAAAATCTAAATGTAGATGTTTGTGACATGAGCGTCGCGTGCAGTCGAGACAATAAATCCCCGAAGCAATTTGCTAATATGGTGATGTAACAAAGAAGAGATCTTTGCGAAAGGATTAGAGATCTGTCAAAACTATTTAAATGTTAGTCAAAATGGCCAATCGGAAATCCAACAATTTCTCTTCGTTTCTCCTGTTCTTTGTGTAACAAAGAGAAGTAATATTGTTTCTATCGCTCTAGCTATTAGGTTTTATTTTTTTTCTCAATATTTCGTCTTATGTGAATGAGAAAGAAATCAATTTGTGATTTGAACTGTTGTTCATAGCGCGCGCGGGTACGCACGCGCTGCGCTGTTAAAACTAATCCGAATATCCGAATTGTGTGTTTTGGATCCATTAGAAAGAATTCGTCAAGTCGTTGACAACAATAAGTTGGCAATTATATTGTAAGAAAAAAATAAAGAAAATTGTATTTGTAAACATGACGCATCGATGTATACGTGCAATATTGTTAGAAATTCCGGAGAAGTGGGGCCTCAGAGTGAGGAAGTTTCCTTGCTCTTGTGTCACCTCTCTAGACTTTCTTTCCTGTGCGGTTTGTTATAGTCGTATATAATCAAATATCCTTGGCACGTTAAGGCACGCATATCCGTTACCAAAGATTTGGTTATTAAATTCTCATAATTTATATATGGCGTGTACGTACCAAAAAGAGGGAAAACGCACATATGCGTTTTTTTTCATTTTGTAAATAGTAATTTTTGGTATTTAATTATCATATCATTTAGTTGATTCAATTAAATAAAGAGAATTTTTTTACCAATGATTTTGTTACCAAATGTTCGTATAATAAACTGTTATTATATTTAATACTCTAATCGGTAAATATTATTTCGAATCACTTGATCATAAAGTTTATGCTCTATTTAAAACATTTGTAATAATATATTATTCTCGCGTACAAGTAATCATGGCAATTAAACAAATTGGTACCGTTTGATATATTCAAATGACGCTGGTTAGGTAAGAGCGATCAAGTTATAGAATATTTATGAGAATATTTATGTTATAATCAAACTAGATATCAGGAAACTAATTATATGAAAGAGATTATTGTATATTTTTGTTATATTGTATCTTTTCCTTTTTTTTCTTCAGCGAAGAGATCAAAACTGACAAAAAGTTGAAGTTGGACAGTCAATTTTGTTTGCTTGCTTCTCATTTTTTTTTAGTGTATTTCCGAATATTGTACAATATATGTATATAATAATCAGAGAAAATTCCTTAAAATGATTAAGGATAATCCTTGCTTTGAAGCGGGAATGGAAAACACGGGCTTGTCTGTCAAGAGAAAAATCGGTTCTATTATCCGGGAAGTGTGTACATAAATATAGATGATGCGTATGTAACAAGTGAGTGGCTCTCCGATGGAAACTGCCGGTTTTGACGTTGTAATTATATACAATTAAATAAAAGCGTTTTTCCTGTTGCCGGTGAACAGAAGACAACTGGTGTCAAAGTATCTTGCATAAGAAACGAATAACATACATATTCAAGACTTGTGTAGGCCAGTGTTTATAATCAATTTTTGTATCTTGTAAATTCGTTTTAAGTTTATATAACGATGTTCGATTTTATCAACATACAGAGCATCTAATAGCGAACTTGAGCCACTTGCATATAAAATCCGACTATAAACAACGGTTTTATTATAATATTGTAAAACACAGATTATTGTCTTTTTACAAAAAGCGATTTCCTATCTCATTTACACTCAACATTTTGAATAATTTTATAATTAGTAAGAAAATGATGCAATTACATGTTTTTAGATGTACTTGCATTGGATAATCAGCAACGTACATAATTGGAATTGTAAATTTGTTTTTTGCTTTTATCATGAAAAAAGATCTTGCTTATACAAACAATAAAATCACAATGGTATAAGATTGATATGAATAAGTGATAAGATCGTGCCAAATGTTTGATCTGATCTTATATGACTTTATATTTCTATTTTTTCTCGGGAATACATTCGATGTAATATATAATTATAATATAATATATATAATATAAAAAAAAAAAATATATATATATATATATTATAGAAAATATATATCTGGTCAGACAAATATAATTACATATGAGTATGTCCGATAAAAAACAATTTTACAACAATTTACTGACGTACGCGCGTTAATGTAAAAATTTAAAACTTACCCTTTCGATCTTTACACATAAAAAGTTATATTTTTTATACGAAAGTTGCGGTGAAATAATAGACGTATACGATACTACAAAGTTACACAACTAAAAACTATTTGATTACGTAGAAATATGAATGTGACGATTGTTATTTGTATAACCGTAATGCGACAAGTGTACGAAGCGCTTTTTTGTCGAGTACATTGAGACATCACATTATCATATAATCTTAAACATATAAGATTCTTATTTAAAGTTATTCTCAGATGCTCTGTGTCTTAAACAACTCGAATATCATTTGACAATAAACTTAAGATAATCGAGTAAATACAAGATCCGACTATGAAATACCGACCTCTATTTGTTAAATTATATAAATTTAAAGCGCGTGCGCGGTCTGTACAAAATACGGAAGATTCGGAAGACTCATGACTTTTTGGTTTCGGGGGTTGGAGGTGTCTTTTTCGCTATAGATTTTTCAAATTTCTCAAGAGGGTAAAATGGTGTATACACACACATATATGCTGCAAAACAAGAATCCAATATAAATTTTCGAATTGAATTCAGTTCGAATTACTATTTGTAACAATTTTTTCACGTTGAAAAATATATTTCGCGCACATACTTTTCGCACGGTTGTGAATTGTCACAGTTGCATTTTCATCAGAAATGAGATTGAGACGATCTCATGTATGATCTTATGCACATTCATTTGTTTTGCTATTATGTAAGTAATACACGTAACATCAGATATGGAATTTATCTTTGTACAAAGAATCTTTTTTTCCGGTGATTTTTTATAACAATGTTCGCACTGTATTACTTTCAAGCAACCGAACTTATGTGAAAATTTGTTTTCTCAAGTGTATTTTTACGTACAAACCTACACCTGTAAAATAACTCCGCACTCAAATTTACGAAATCATTGAGGATCGCGTTAGTGAGTCATTTATGTCAGAGATAAGTGATCGACATTGTCCAGACGTATATATTTTTACCAAACTTTTGATTTTCACAAAACACTATGCTTAAAACTAAACACTTTACTAAACTACGCAATAGGACTGGCGCATTTCTGTTAGTGTAGCGCGCTTTTATATTCCTCCCTCCACACAGTCGTAAGTAATACATGTTAATAAATCTAGGATGACGGCTGTAAGGTGTGGGATTGGAAAAATTACTTTGACGATTGAAAGAACACAATGCATCGTTAAAAATCAAAAAAAAGAAAAAAAGAGCGTCTTGTATTAAGGATCAGATATCAAAACTCGCGCTTTAAATACGTAGTTGTTTACATGCGCATGTAATAAACGCAAAAGATAAATTTATAACGCAATGTTTTTTTTTCTTGAATAAAATAAGAGTGCAGAGTTTGTTTTATTCAGTCGAAAAACCGGTTTATACAAGATGTCAAGATAAAAAAACGAATGATTCTTTTAGACATCTTTGAGATGTGAAATGACCTCGTGGATGTCGCAAAGAAATAAATAGCTTTGGATCAACGCATTTTGTAACATATTATTGCGTAAGACAATACAACTTCTGTTTTACGAGGAAATGTACTTTTTTTGTCTTCGATAATTACACATCACAACTTTCGAGTACTCGGTGCAGCCATAACGAATATTATAAATAAAAATCAAGCAGCAAATATAAAAAATGGTACAAAAATTGAATTTTTTTTCCTGCGATTTACAAAATCAAAATTAACTGTTTGGTTTTTGACACGCTCATGTGACATCGACATTTTTGCAAGACGTATTTTCATACAATAAAATGTCGATAAAGCACATGCTTCGCGCGGTATTTGCCTTGTCATGTCTGTTAAAAAAAAAGAAAAAAAATATAAATAACAATTGGGTAATTTATGAAGTGAGAGATCATGTGCCAAGTTTTTTATGCACGGCAAGTTTGCTTCAAACTGACGCGTGAAACGTAATACTTCATAATTCTTGTTTATAATTAAAGCAATAATAATGTAAATAAATTAATAATCTCTCTGATTGTTCAATAATAATATTTCTACCTTCGGTAAAGTCGCAGAACAGAATCAATTAATTTTGTTTTTTCCTACATTTGAATACGCTTGACGTCTAATTTGCCATTATTGACGCAAAACCTTGGATACAGAAGGGGTAGGGGGAAGTAAGTTTTCTCAATTTGTTCTTGTTTAGAATCTTTTTTTTGTATACGAATACACACTGGAAAACAAGATTTGATACTAGAACCATTAAGCCTGGACGCTAGTTACCGAAGTGCAATTTTGCTTGCGAAAACTAATAAGACAAATAAAACTATCACGCGACTGTTTGCCTTCTCGTATCGACCTGAAGTCTGACTGTCACTCTTGTAAATCGCCTCTCTCTCTCTCTCTCTCTCTCTCTCTCTCTCAAGATATATCCTATTTCTATGAACTATCGAGACGTGGTTGTTAACTGTCGCTATTTTTTCTCGTTTTACACAAACGTTCCACGACTCACAGTTTGAGGACCGCTGCGTTAAACTAAATCACATTTTTCTGTTTCATTTTTATCTTACATGCTTCATGTGATAATCTGTGCCGAAGATGTATGTATTTTTGTTTGTTTGTTTGTTTCTTTTTTTTTTTGTAAACAGCTTGGAATTGCGGCTTCTCTGGATTCTTTAGCGCCGTATTATCAATAATACTGACTAAACCGATAGCCGCACTCAATCGATACCCAGAACTCATGCTATTGCGCATGCTATCTCCATCTCGAAGATCATTTCGCAGTCACAAATGTTGGCTACCTGTGTGTCGCCGCGACGGACTCTGATGCAAACTAAAGTGCGTAACACGATAAAAAAAGAAATGTTTATTTTAATTTGAGTGGATCCCAGGACCTCCTGGGATATGTAAGAAATCTTAAAGCATCTCATTCGCCATGTGTTACTTATTGACAAACTAGTGATGTTAAGTAATTGAAACTTTACATTTACATTTGTTAATTTTTGACTTTAAGTGTAATGTAAAAATAAAATATTATTATTGTACAAAACAATTAAAAACTACATGGAAGAATAGTTACGATAACTCGTAAAAAATGTACTCGTCAAAAAGAACATTATTTTTAAATAAATGTAAAGTGTCGATTGCTCAACATTACTAGTTCGTCAATAAGTAACACATGACGAGTGAGTTACTTTAACATTTTTTACGTGTCTCCCAGGAGATCCACGCAAATTAACATTTTTTTTTTTTTACTGTGTAATCCGTTCAAATTTTAATTGACATCAAGTTTTTTTAGGGAGAAATGTAACAAAATGATGATGATAACAAATTGATCCTTCGTCTGCAGATCTAAAAAAACAACCGACGAATATTGCGAGTCTGTGAGATTTACGCGATTTTAAGATCAAATATCTTTACAAAAAATCAATATTTGTTCAATTTCTTTTTTTTTTTTAATCAAAAGTTTGAACAATTCTGCGTCAACAAAAAAATCAACAATTGAAAAAATCTTTACCAGTTTCGAATATATAAGCGTTTAAAAATTAACTAATTTTTTTTCTGGAAACGCCGATGCGCAATAATTGAGCGAGTCCGACAGACCCTTGTCCGCAAACAAAGGATTAAACATTTTTTTAACTTATCATGTTTGTTTTTTGTTTTATCAAGGGTGATTATTCAATTCTTCATATGAGATCTGTTTTTCATTGTGTTATGCAAATTCCTCGCATGGATATGTAATAACGCTGTACACGCGAGTTCAACGAACTCTGCTGCATGCAAGTCTGATCGCACAAATATTTCGCGTTACCGAGATGAATGGAAAATCATTTAAAAGCGAAATCGATCGTTCAAAAAGTTGAAATCGAAGATAAAACTTTTTATCGGTCGCCAATCGGTCTGCATTCGTGTTTGTAAGAGATCATTTTACCTTTTGAATTCGAGCGCATTTTTCCGGACTTTGATCCAACGTCAGACACGGAGAACGTTTGCGTTGCTTGCAGGCGAGGTGCTCCTTTCTACGGTGGCATTGACTGCAATTGAGCTAGCATCGAAAACCGGTTACTATTACACAAGATGTCATTTTGACTTGGCGCTAATGACTAATAATGATCTATGTGTAAATTTGGACGCACGAGATTCATTTGCACAATATGTCACGTATAATAATTTACTAATGGGAACCCTTCTAACACGTTCGTAGCACTTTCACATTACAACAAAATTATTTTCATTCACATTTTGCGTTGCTTTCGATTTAATAAGCACACAACCGCGCAATGATCATTATATTTTCTTCGCGACGACTTTCTCGCTAGTTTTTCTCCTGATGTTTGTGACACGGTTCTTTTTTTTTTTGCCACACGGAATGCATAAAGCGCGTTTAAATGCTCTGCATTTTTCACGAAATGATGATTTCCGCATTATATTATTAAGCACACATGATTTCACACAAGTATTTCAGATCTATCTCTTTCTCGGTTTTTGTTATATAAATTTCACAATTACGTCACGATCTTTTCTATGAGCAAATGTTCCGCAGGTATGTTACACTCGTTTTACGTTATAATATTTGCAAAAACGGAGATATTTTTTTAATAATAAAATTGAACTTCGCGCGTTTTGAAAACACCTGCGTAAACTTTTTATCTTTCACACTTTTTATACGCGTAAACTTTTGTAAGATTTTTTTTTTTTTTTTTTTTTTTTTTTTTTTTTATTTGAATTTTTCACACACTTTACACACGTAAACTTTTACAAGTCAGTTTAAACAGATATTTCAAACAGAATTTGCACGGTGGATATAAAAAGATTTCCTTTTAACTGCGTACTAAATAAGCGTAAACTGCGTAATCTGTAATATGTAATAAAACTGTAAAAAAAAAAAAAAAAAACCGGCAGGTATGCAATTTCAGCTTTACGACAATTCTCGCTGAACGCTTTACTCGTCACATAGCAAAGATCCGACTCAGCAAAGACTGTTTATGACCTGGTTATATACCTGGTTTCAATAGCGCGCTAGATTCACTTCTAATGTTGCGCGGTCTCGGTGAGAGTGGGGTTTTAGGAAGTCCTTTCATACATTCGTTTTTCTTCCGCACGAATACAAAATGTCTGTAAGCAATATGTGAAATGTTAATTAATCTGTCGCAATTGTGCAAAAGTTTTGAACGGTTTTATCTTATTAAACAGTTTTATTTTAATTAATGTTTTGGATATTGGATTTATTGTTTTGTAAATTTTTTATATTTACATATAATAATATGTTTAGAATATAAAAACATATATTTAATATATATTTAAAACTATATTAAAAATTTATTAGGTAAAATATAGTTAAAATATATTTAAAAACATATTAGATCAAATACGTTTGCGTTTTTCGAGTGTACATCTTTTTAAACGTACAATAAAAAGACAAATGTAGAATTCGATTAATTACAAGTGTAGAACTCGATTTGTGAATTGCGTGTTGTTTGTATGCGCTTTGATGTAGTGGCAATCTAAATCTTTTCAGAGGTAAAATTGCTGCGGGATATTTTCGTAAATTCAATAATACTCTGGTGCACCTGTAACAGAGCAACTAGAGACATAGTGTGCCGCGTGCTACTGCACCTAGCGTACGGCAACCGGTTATTATCTTCGGTGCTAATGCACCTATCACAGAGCAACCAGTTGTACCGGTATTAATACACCTGCTGTATAGCAACCAAGTAGACTAGGCGCATTTGTATCACGTGATATTAAAACCAGAGAGAACCAGTAAGTTAAGTAGTGCGAGGTTTGAATTTAATTTACTTGATAATATTGAATTTAATATTGAAATTTAATTTACTTAATAATGTTGGAATTAATATTTTATGCTCTATGTTTTATATGGTCAGCGTTATTTTAACTGGTTGCCGAATTTTTTTCGAAACTTCAATAAACCGTTTTTGTTATGATACATTTTAGGAAAAGAGATTTTTTGTCGCGCAAAATAGCAACGGATAGTGACTCGAAACGAGAACTGGTTTGCGCGGCACCTTGCTGACCTTGTGTCTATTTAAAAGCGTGTCAATGTCGATGTATGAAAAAATGTTTGCGCGATTCATGCGAACAGTTTATTTTGCTCACGAAGATCGTCACTCGCGTATAAATTTCAGCGCGATGATCAAAAACCAGAACCGCTCATTTCACTAACTAGGAAAGTGCCGGTGTGCAACCGAGTAAGTTTAAGTGCATTTATGTAACTATTTGAAGATACAAGACATATCTCTCTTTGCCGAGAGAAAATGAAAGTATATAATCGGTAATAAAGTGTAAAACAAATCACGCGCTCGTTATACTAACAATAATAAAATTAAATATAAAAAGAAGGTCTGTTACGAGCTAAATAGAAGATCTTTGTATTTATTTAATTATAATATCAAAAAACGTATAATGCAATATAAGTAACGCACGCAAACGTTTCGACTCTTACTTGAGTCATCTTCGGTGAACATAAAAAATTAAAAAGATAAATAAAATCACGCCATTCAGAAGAAGATGATGGTGGTGTGGATGTTCTCAATATAATAATATAAATTGTAAAATCTTACATATTGTAGTTGTTTGACTTCCTGGAAGAGTTATACAGTTAACAAAGTCACATAAATATTCACCAGAGTAAACAAGTAAGCAGTTCAACTTACATGTTTAGAGTCAAAATCAAACGGTGATCAAAACGTAAAGGCAACGATTTATATATTTGAATCCCCACTCCCAAAACACAATCAAAAAGCAAAACAAGTCAATTAAAATTTAAAACAGTTAAAATTTACAATTCAGAGTTTTGAAGATTTGATTTCATCAAGTAAGTTAAAATAAGCATGGTCAAGTAAGTCAGTATCGTTAACTAAATTTTAAACCAAAAATCTGTTCTTTTATATGTATAATTTCGGAAATCAATCTTTTGTAAAAGTTAGATTCATGGTCTAAGATTTGAATATTATTCCAATCAAATGTATGATTGTAATCTAACATGTGTTTCGAAATTACTGAGAGTTGTGAAGTTGTCTTTTTGATATTATTTATATGTTCTTTTATTCGCGTTTTTAATTGCCTTTTTGTCTGACCAACGTAAGACGCACAACAGTTCATACAATTAATTTTATAAATAATATTACTGTTAGAGTCATGTGGAACTAAATCTTTATGTACTTTAATAATCCGATTGAGTCTGTTAAAACATTTATTAAACCTATGATAATATCTTCTTTAGGAAAGTTATTGCTAATATTCTCGGATACATTATTAATATATGGTAAAACGATTAATCTTCTATCAGTCATTGTGGAAGAACCAAATTCAAATAAATTGTTAATTTTTTTGGATATAAACTTTTTGATCCTAGAATTAATGTTAGAGAAAATAAAATCGAGAGGGTAACCATTGTTTAACAAAGTATCNATGACAAAGATAATATTTTTAGTATGAAAATCCGGATGTGATAATAACAGAGCTCTATCAATTAAGCCGAAAATTGTTCCTCTTTTATGACAAAGAGGGTGATGAGAAAAAAATGAGAGGAACCTTCCTGAAAAGGTTTTTTTATGAAACCAATCTAATTTAAATTTTGAATTAGTAACCTGAATGGATAAATCTAAGAAGTTAATGGTTATCCTCCAATTCCGTAGTAAATTTAATTCTATTGTGAAACGCATTAAAAGTAGAAACAATATCGTTAACCATGTGTGACGAAGCGGCCATGACGATGTCATCTACATAACGGTAGTAGAAAGTAATTGAATTATTGAATTTATATAGTGCTTTGTTTTCAATATCTTGCATAACGATATCTGCTATTAATGGAGACAACGGTGAACCCATAGGAGTACCGAAAGTTTGTTTGTAAATGACATAATCAAAAGTAAAAAAGGTTAACTGACTTGTTTTGCTTTGACTGTGTTTTGGGAGTGGGGATTCAAGTATATAAATCGTTGTCTTTACGTTTTGATCACCGTTTGATTTTGACTCTAAACATGTAAGTTGAACTGCTTACTTGTTTACTCTGGTGAATATTTATGTGACTTTGTTAACTGTATAACTCTTCCAGGAAGTCAAACAACTACAATATGTAAGATTTTACAATTTATATTATTATATTGAGAACATCCACACCACCATCATCTTCTTCTGAATGGCGTGATTTTATTTATCTTTTTAATTTTTTATGTTCACCGAAGATGACTCAAGTAAGAGTCGAAACGTTTGCGTGCGTTACTTATATTGCATTATACGTTTTTTGATATTATAATTAAATAAATACAAAGATCTTCTATTTAGCTCGTAACAGACCTTTTTTTTATATTTAATTTTATTATTATATAATCGGTATTTCAGAATAAAAATTTCAAACTCTCGCGAGACTATTTTGTATCCGTAGCTTCGTGCCGCGCGAGAGAAAGAAAGTTTAGGTGTATCGAGTTACATAAACGATTCGTCCGAGGAAATTCAAATCATGAGGTAATTGTAATATCGAACAACGTTGTGGATGGTTGTATTGAATTTTGTTTTTTTTTTTGTGTAAATGAGATTGCAAATAAATTAAAATTTTGACATTCTTGTTTTACGAAACATACGAGATAAGATCTCGTCTGAATTGCATCAGTTTGATTCTCGATACTTGCTGACATGAACATTCAGTTGTTCTACGTAACAATTTCTCACCTTCGTTGTGAATATAGATACAATGAGATAAGTCAATATCTCGATTTTTTTTTATCATCAAAAAAATCAGAACGGAAAGTTTGTGAATTTAAACGTGATAAAAAGCAAGAGAAAACGTAAAATACGTTAAAATACGTTTTTAAATATTTATTTGTTGTATTTTATCCGCTGTATACGCAAAAAATCTTTGAGAGCGCTAATTGTAAATACTGGAAGTGATTCAGAACTAGTATGCTAATATATGTAGTATATATATATATATATATATATATATGTATATATTTGTTCCGCAGACACTGTATATTTCGTCGTGTGTACTTATAGATATAAGCTAGACGTATGGACGTAGTATTAAATATTTAACGAGAGAAGCTATGTACGCGACAGAGCGTGCACAGCTTGAAATATCGATGCGCAATTTTCTAAACCACGTCCATATACTTTTTATTTCCGATCGTTGTAAATTACTCGTATGCAGATCGTCTTAACCTTCGCCAAGTGTTGTAGCATATTTTCTCAATTTTTTAATTGCGTAGTCACACATATATGATAATGTAAACTGTTTTGCAAAAAAAGAAAAAAAAACTAAATTGCGAGAGTATTGTTTTTCTTGTACAAATAATATTTGTACAAGGCTATACGACACTTGAAAAATCACACTGTGAGTTATTATTTTCTTGCAAAATTTGATGTAAAATAAAAATAAAAATATGTGTGAGATTTTTTAAATACGATTTCTTTATGACGTTATTAGTTTCAGTTTGAAATGAAACGAGGCGTGAAATAATCGCGTGTCGGAAACAAAACGAAATGCATGTATTTCTAATTCTTATTATTGTTTATTGCTAGTTCCGTAGAGTCCGATCCGTAGAAATAAAAAATGGCGAGCAAAAAGAAGAAGAAAAAAAAGATTGCCTTGATAATTTCAGTGATTACGATGCCTATAGTTTTTTTGTTGTCGATGAAAAAACTCTTATATTAGAATTGCAATTATTATTATGTATATTGTTTTTATTAATGCATGTTTCTTGTAATACGTCTCGATTTCTCATTACATGTCGTGAACTTGACACGTGAAACATTGTTACGCATCTTGACGTGCGTATGTGTGCGTGTGCGTGGATATAATTTTTATATATCTTTACATATATATATATATATATATAATTAAACATAATCAATTAGATAATTTATATATGATATAGTTTATATATTTTTTATAATGTGTATAATTTTTACATATTTATATGGTGTTATAGTATATTGCATCTATATATTTATATACGTATAATGTTTTATAAAATATAGTTGTGATATGTAAGAAAACACAGAACATGCGATTCTCCTCCCAGTATAAAAATTACCAGAGCGCCGTTCCGGTTTCTAGACAAATTTCACTTGCTTTCGGTACTATTGCGAAAAAAAGCATTGCACATGATTTTTGTTTCGCAAACAATTAATCATTCGAAATCCGGTTCGCGAAAAAAAAACAAATCGATCTCTATCTCGTGTATATGTAAGACAAAAAAAAATGACAAAAATAAATTGGCGAGATATTAGTGAGATAAAATATTGTAACACGACATATGTCAAATTATTATAATAATATTGTTACAAGATAAATTAAAGTCGATGTTGATAATTATAATTTGGAAGTAAAAACATTACTAGTCTCTTTCCGACATTTCCTTGACCTGAGAAACTTATTTACAAGAAATGTAAATATGTATACTAGATATTTTGCAAATCATTGTGTTGTGCGAGTCACTTGACTTCGAACAATTATTTTTAAGACTTTTTGTTGTAAATGCTCATTATCTCATCAGAGATTTATGTTTTTTGTCACCTTTTCCTCACCTTCAATTATCATATTGAAATCGAGTCAGTGAGACGTATTTTATTTTGCATATTGTACGACTTCCAAGCAAATATTTAGCTATAATTTTGCGCGCGCACATTCTGATATCTCGTAATTTTCCGATTTGAACATTTACACGTGCGTGTGTTCTAAACAATTAGATAAAAAAGTATTTTAAAGTCAAGTTTTAAAATTACACACAACGTATGAATATGATTCTCAATTTTTTTCAATACGAAGACAAAAAAAGAAAAATGCTCAAAGAAAATACAAAGTGACGTTGCTAAAATCTAATGTACAACAAACTTTTTTTGTCTAAAACTTTTTTATAAACAACGAGCGACGGCTAAAAGTTGTTGCATGTTGCACAATGTCCTTGACAACATATGTGAAGCTCAAGTTGATCGGAAAATAATCCGTTAGTGTCAATATATATCAACTTTTTTTTCAATATTAGCTGCAATCGTTAAAAACTCGCTTACAATATCTCAAAGAAGATAATCTAATATTTTATTACGAGCACACACTATCACGTTATCATTCAGTCATTACACGCAAAAAATGTTGAATGTAGTTTAAAAATTCGGTTTTGTTTTTTGTTTTTTGTTTTTTTAAATAAGATTTGCTAAAATGTTTTGTAAAATAAATGTCTGTATTACATACGTGTGATTATAATTTACTATTTTTTAATTATGTGCATTCTTATATGAATAATAACTTATATGAATAATAATACTTTCAAACAATGAGTATGTGTAAATACATCCAGCGAATGGCTCTTATTGACCGTATTTACACATACTCATTGTTTGAAACTTCAGACCCAAAAAGATTCTCTCTATCAAATATAATACTTTCCTTTAACACCAGTCCGTCGATACGTGCGTCACATCGTTTCTTATTCTTTTCTCGTGCACTAAGCGCAAATACCTCATTTAATCTTAACAACGTAATATCGATAGTCCGAGGCGTCTCTTGTTATTTTCGAGTCGTTGTAGAAAAAGTCGGCCTCGTCTGGTCGCGCGCCTTGCCTCTGGATAACTGAAATCAATGCGCGTATTTGCGCGGCTGCTCTTTATTGCAAAAAAATAATAAGAGCAAAAGATTCTCTTTTATCATACCAGACCGGTTTATCTTGAACAAAGGAACCGGTATTCTACGCGTGCAGATGTAAAATTGCTATTTCTGAGCGCCCGACCCAAATTCTTCGACAAATGTTCTGTTAGATTTTGTTAGGCCAATTTCGAAGACAATATTCTGGAATTTGTCAATTCTATTTAATATGTAAAAAAACCATCATGTTGCGACATATTAGAGCGTTTGAGAATTTGAGGTTCTATCTTTGGATTTTTAATCCAGTTCGTCAGATCGAAGCGGTCTGTCTGAACGTTCGTGGACGTCGTGTGAGAGCAATTTGTTTTTTCTTTGTTCCGGCACGTACATCGTTGGTCCCAAAAGTATACGATCTATTTAAGCATTCAAGTAGTTACTCTCTGCATAAAAAAAATATAAATTTTTGCAAATGGATAGAAAGTTAGAGAGATATCGATATTTTTGATACGAAGATCTATTAGTTTGCACTTCAAATGCATGTAACAGTTGTTTTTTTCTTTACAGAATTTCCAAACTAGACTGGAAAAGTGCATATGTTAAGTTTATTAGTTACATACTTTTGTCGGTGCTGTTTCGTAACACTGTTGCACAAAGGATTATCTATTTTTTAGGTGTGATGGCCGAATAATTCTAGTATCAACTATGTATATGTGTATCACAAGCAGAAGTGCAAAGCTCGTTTCCCTCTCCAGTAAAATTGTTTTGTACAAAATGGACGATTGCACAAGCAACCTCTGATTGTTCGTTGATGACTGGCCCAAGCCGAGCCAGTTCTCGCCAAGCCCCGTCGCGGCCCGACGGCCTACTCTTACTCTCGTGCGGACTCTCAGTTTCCTGATCGCGCTCTCGGACCTGATCTTCCGTCAGTCGATCTTCAGTGAGGCAACGGGAGTGCGCGAAACGGACTTTCGCTATCATACCCGATACCACGTGGTCGTGTTCTCTTTGTCAAGTGTTTCGCGATCGAGATCCGAGGATATTACTGTTTAAACAAGAAAGTTTTCTTTGACAAGTGGTGGAAAAAAAAAAAAACTATTTGGACATCTTGGAAATCTTTTTCTCATGATGTTTGCTACTGGTCATTATTGAAAATTTATCTCATACATATGTAAAATAGTTTAGAATTTAGTGAAAAAGATAATTTTTTCAATTTTCATTACTTTGTGCTTTCTCTGTTTGTTCTTTTTCTTTTTTTTTTTTTTTACCGAATGTGCAAATTTTTAGTTTAAACTTCTTCTCACAATATTGTCGCGCTTCTACTTTTCACAAAGAACTCCGAGATGATAATTATTCAAGGTCTTGATATTCTTGAAATTTTTATTCTCAACGAGTTGTTTTTTTATCTGAAGTTTACATTGAAGTGAATTTTTTAACTTTCGAGTCAGAGAGACGGCAGACATAGCACATGTATAAATGAATTCAGATTGTTATCTTAGTGAGATATCTGGAGTTTGATCGGTGTCTCTGTAGTCTTCATCTATTTTTAGCGATTTTATTGTTAATTCTTAAAACTCCTCTTATCATTAATTATTCATCAGCTTGACAATCTCTACTTATTAAGAATCGACGTAATTGTGTTTGTATTATTCAATTGTCAGACGCATATTTGAATTTATTACATCTAATAATTTATCTACAGTCAGATGATTTTGCGGAATAATCGTGTTTAAACAGGATACTTGAAAAGTAGACAGATACTCACACAGAAATTAAATTGCTTTCAAGATATATTACTTGTAAGTGTGTGCTTCTCAGAAAAAGCAAAATTGAAAAAGTGTTGTAAACAACAATTGTCGATAAAACTCGAAAAAACAGCACAGCGATAAAAAAGTTTCCGCGTAAAACAAAATAAAAAAAAATGCTGTGAAGCAGTGAGACAGCGGGAAAACCGGAATCAGATCACAGATTGTGTTCAAAAACGAAAAAAACTACATCTGATCTTTACAGAACACCTCGTGAGAACGTTTCTTCGAAAGAGACAAATGGCACGGGAATAACTTCGAAGAAAAAAATAATTCGAAACGCGAAGAGGAACACCTGGGGCACACTAATCGCTTTACATCCATCGGTCTCGCGGTGATTAGTCTCATTTGTTTCTCATCAGAAGATTCTTCGCTCTTGAAGTAATAGCACACGGGACATCGTCATCATCATCATCATCATCATCAGAATTTTGCAGGTTAATACATATATGTATTATATATACAACCACAATTTTTGCAAAACTTATTCGATCAACTTATTTTGCAAATGGAATATCATTTTTTTTAAATATCTTATAACCCGTTTTCGAGGAAAACAAAATATAGAAAAAAATATAGAATATACATTTATGAAAAAAGTTAAAAGAAGTAATTGAAATAATCAATTACATGTATACGTGTGTGTAACTTTGTGAGTGATACAATTGCTGTGAGACAAGCAATTTTTTTTTTTTCATTCGACATTGACGTTATCCTTGCACCAATAATTGCAGAAAAATTGTTGATCGCATTATTACCGACTGTTTTTTGTTTGTATAATGAAGAATATGGTACGCGACTGAATCTCGATTGCCGTCACAATAAAAGAAATAAAAACGCTCGATGTAGTTGTATCTGCTATGTCGATAAGTGTTCACACGTGCAAAACACCTATGCACGAGGTGTCTACACGGTGTCGCGCGAAATTATTAAAAAACGCACGACTGATTTGAGAATTTAAATGTTTAAAACAAAATGTATGTGCGCGCGCGCGCGCATGTCACACGTTTAAAATTTTTTATACACATATACAGAAAGCTTACGATTATCGCGCGCGTTCCTTTAATGATATTACACAAGTGCACGAAAGAAGAGAATTTTATTTATCTTTAAAGAAACTTTTATTTTTTTGTTCCTTAGAAATTTTGGCTAAAAGACAGCTAAAAAAACTTTCTACTGAAGAAATTCAATGCAAGCGTTTCAATTTCAAAAAGTTTGGTAAAGGTTCCGTTTATTGTCAGATGTTAACTTAATCCGCACGTTTTTCAAAATTTACGTAATTATCAAAATTACGTCAGGGTCGTGCGATTCTCATGACAATGACGCGAACTTATTATACGCGTTAAGTGATTGCGTTTGACAGCGTTAAACAAGGCAAGTTCATCAGGAAGAAACGACGACGAGGAGGCGAGTCGAAAGAAAGGAAAGCGATCAAGACGTAACCTTAGGCGGTCTTTCTTTGCTGTTTCGTAATACGCTAGCTCTTTCTCTTTCTTTCTCTTTCTCGTGAAAGAAATGCACAAATTACGTGAAAGCAACAACGTTGCGTAGTATGTAGCTTACTCATCGCTGACAATTTTTTTTTTTTTCGTGTTATTCATTTTGACGTAATAAACACGTTATCGCAAATTTTGCAATTTCTCCCGATCCTTCCGTTTTCCATTTTTTTGAGGGAGGGGGGTGATTTATTTATTAAAATACAAACATGTAGCAACTTGTTTCGCGCGATACGTTTTAAAAATTCTGTCAAATTGAACTTTGAATTTCTCTTTCGCACAATGTGAGCGACTCCAACTTTTGTTTTTTTTTTGTTTTTTTTTTTTTTGTTTTTTTTGAGCGCATCTATAACCAAAAACACACTATGTCGAGGTTAATTAACACTATCTTTGTAAAAAAAAGAACAACCTTTGCATTTTAAATCTCTTTTGAAACCAATTTCACGAATCCTTAGCGTATAATTGTCCTCATTAAGTATTGACAATCGTGAAGTATATATAAGCGTCGATATTTCTCAACAAGTTGACAAACTTCGATTGAGTCAACAATTTGATTTTTTTTTTCATTTGGTTTTTTATTTAACATGAGATTGATCTTTCGACAACACGTGTAATTGCGAGGAACGTTATGACGCGTGTGTTGTTTCGAGGTTTCTTTTATGAAACGAAAAAACCTCACGAAGCTTTCAATCTTTCGCAAACAAAGTTTAATAATATCATCGATGTATTGCGACAAACAAGGTGCGATTAGTCAAATCAGATACGTCAGATATTGCAAATGTCACGGACGTTCAGAAGATAATTTAACTGAGACAAAGACGAGAAGATGATATTAATGTATAGAATCGTTAAATAGTTGTTTTGAGCATCAATACAAAGAGATATTTACAGATTAATTAAATCTTTGTATTTTTTTTCACGCATCTTATTTTAACGTAGGTATTGTTAATGTGCGTCATCGAAACGGTGAGCGAAAATAGTTAATATTCTTGTTTCAATTGTCGGATTCATACGCTTAAATTAAAATTTAATATAAATATTGTTATATTCTACAATATTTATGTCGTCAGATGTGTAGATAATATATATATATATATATATATATAGCATGGTCTTATAATTTTCTAATGATGTAACGGCGTAACAAACACACTCTCACCTATCTGACCGGTCTGACTAGTGAGTTAAAAAAAGAAAGAGAGTTTTCGAACACCTGCAGAAAGAGATTACAAATTGGTCATCGCACTTCGTAGCTTACTACGAAGCTACGTAGCTTACTTCGTAGCTTATACCTCAACTAACTTACTAACGTTTCTAACTCTTTATATTTCTTTATATCGATATTTGTGATGCAAATTACACACGTGATCGTAGCGGCGAAATGTATGAAAGAGTTAATTAAAAAAACCACAACATTTGTTAGCCAAAATATATTAAACTTCATAAATATTTAAAATTATTTAAATAAAAAAGATAAATTGTTTGCGTTGTGCTAATCTACGTCTCTGCGTATATAATGTATGACGAATAGAAATACGTAATGTAATAAAAATTGCGTAATCCTGATTTTCTACATGCAGAGATGGAAAACACGAACATACCGAGCAACTTGATGGAATTGAAAACGCGAAGACAGCAATTTCAGGCGCAAGCGTCGACCTTGGACACGAGGAAGAGACAGGCCGTTTGCGTGAGAAGAGCCTTCAAGAAATATGGATCAAAGAACAGTCCCAATATCGTTTTAGACGGGCTTAACATGACCGTTCCGAAGGGTTCAATGTAGGTGTCTTGTTGCACGCCGCACGTAATAATTAGTATATTTTTAATAAAGTATAGTCAGAGAACAGTTAATTTTTCATAAACTCAAACGCATTGTATGATGTTTTGGGATTAAAAAAAAATGTTTTGAGTTAATAAATAAGTAAAAACAAAATCAAAGAGAATTTTAAAGAGTATACACGGAAAAAGAATCTCTTGGCACGTCGAAATAAATAAGAACACTTATTCATTTCGACGCAACGGTGTGACAGAACTACGTGTGATTTTTTTTTAATGTTATAAAGTCAAATATTCAAGAATCTTATTATCACTTGTAAATAAAAATATCAAATGCTATATTTATTTATAAGAGTATAATTTGCCACATCCATCTTCTTTTAACTCTGCAGATACTTTATTACACAAGAATTTTGATAGCAGACAAATAAAAGAATCGTAAAAAATGTATTTACATATGTTTGCATATGTATGATATTTTTTTTATTTATCTCTGCTATCAGGTTATTTAATCCAACAAATATTCTCTACGTTCAAATCAGAAATAAATATTTTCAGCTGTTGTTTATTTAGTGTAAGTCGAGAAAAAAATATATATATTAGTATAACAATATGAAAGATCTCCTCAAATGCAATTTCATACTTCGGAGTTCAAAGAAAATGTATTTCAGCTTTAAAGAATTTTGTCAGTTCTATATTTCCGTGACGAATATATTTTATTGTGCACAGTTACGGTTTGCTTGGTGCGAGCGGTTGCGGAAAAACGACTTTGCTCTCGTGCATCGTCGGACGAAGACGCTTGAATTCCGGTGAGATTTGGGTGTTGGGTGGTCGACCGGGTTCCAAAGGATCTGGCGTGCCCGGTCCACGGGTCGGCTACATGCCGCAAGAGATCGCTCTTTACGGCGAATTTTCCATTCGAGAAACATTTATCTTCTTTGGATGGTGCGCCGGTATGACGACGGAACAAGTGGAGGATAAACTGGAGTTTCTGATAAAGGTAGGAAGAAGACAGAAAGAATAATGACTTTTATATTCTGAGATGATCATGTGTGTAAAATATTGAAAACAAATAAATCATCGTGACTTTTAAGAACTTATATGACTTTGAAAGAAACTCTTGAAATCTTCGTGTACATTTTTTTATTTTATTTGCTATTGTACACGCAGTTTTTGCAATTGCCATCCGAAAATCGCTTCGTGAAGAATTTGTCGGGCGGTCAACAGAGAAGAGTGTCTCTCGCGGCAACGCTCTTGGCCGATCCTGAGCTGTTGATCCTCGACGAACCGACAGTTGGGGTAGATCCTCTTCTCCGACAGAACATCTGGGATCACTTGGTGCACATTACGAAGGACGGCAACAAAACCATCATCATCACCACGCACTACATCGAGGAAACCAGGCAAGTTTAAGCGTGTAAAATTGTTATTATTATTATTACGAAATTTCTACGTGAAATTACGAAAAAAACCCCATATGTGTGCTGTAAATAGATTGAGAAATTGATTAAAGAAATGATGTTATTCAGGCAAGCCAGCATTATTGGTCTGATGAGAAGCGGCAAGTTTCTGGCGGAGGAATCACCGACGAAGTTGTTGGAAATTCATCATCTAGAAACTTTGGAAGAAGTTTTCTTGAAGTTAAGCAAACGACAGAACATGGGATTGCGAAGAAGAAGCAGCATTTTGAGCAGTGTAACGGGCGTACCGCCAGAAGACGTGAGTGAATAAATTTGAAAAGAAACACTTTAGTGTGTGTTTTCACAGATCTCGTATAGTTTTCAATGGGATACCATCGTTCGTCTGTATCTATATACTTATGCAGAACAGAGTGTTTCAAAACAAATTTTAACACACATTTGGAGAATTCGTAAGTATGTGAAACACCTGCCTCATGAGCCTGAAAATCCACATTGGAGAAGATTCCAAGAATGTGTTGACAATGATGGTGAAGACTCTTCGAGGACGAAGTACATTTGTCACTACTGATATCTTGTGCCATCGGTTTTTTATTTCTCCAAAAACAGTTAATTTTATATAAAAATGTTACCATATTTTTTTTAAAGCACTCTGTTTATTTATATTCAACATTCACATAATTTCGACGTATACGTAATAATTTCATTTGTTACATACGATCATTATATAACATACGTGTTTATTAAATAATATAAATTTCATTTATTCAATAAATAAAAAATATTCAATTCAATTGAGACAATTTAAATGTCACTTTCTTATTATACTTTATTTTTTCGTTTTTTGACAGGACGTAGATGAGATGAGCGGCGAATTTGGCGACAACGTCAGTATTTCTAGTCGGAGAAGAAGCATAGCTATTACGAGTGACAATGTAAATATAGGTTTTTTTTATAATTCGCTCCACTAATGTTCTTTTTTTATTTTTTCGATGAAATTATTTGTAATCGAGATTTCTTTTCGCGAAAATTTGTTTCTCTGCGTTCTCTCTGTCCTTCAGACATTTATATTTTCCTTCAGACGTGTCTTTACTTCCTGAAAAACAATATTCGATTTTTGATTTATTTGCTCCGACAGATTCCAGAGTTGCCGCCGGAAGAAGAAGGTACTTCTAAATTGTCCATGATCAATTCGAAACACATGCAGGCTCTCATCTGGAAAAACTCTTTGTGGATGTGGCGAAATGTCGGGTAAATTTTGTATTTTTATTTCCGTTTTTTGTTTCTATATAATTTAAAAAAAAATTTTTTTTACCTCTCTCTCTCTCTCTCTCTTTCTTTACTTTTTCTCTTCACAGAATGATGCTGTTTATCATTGGGTTGCCGGTCGCTCAAATAATTATATTCTGCATTTCGATCGGTAAGGATCCCGTTGGTTTAAAGTTGGCCATTGTCAATCACGAGCTTAATAACAGCATGCAACCGTGCGTTCCCCCAACGGGTTGCGATTGGACGCAATTGAGTTGTCGATATCTTCAGCATCTGCAGAAGAAAAAGGTGAAGTTTTTACCGCACGACGATGAGAACGAGGCCAGAAACGCTGTGGAAAAGGGCTGGGCGTGGGGCGCAATAACGTTTCCCGCGAATTACTCCGCCGCCCTCATGGCGAGAATAGAAGACGGCAGGTTGACCGAGGACTGGGACATCGAATTCTCGGAGATGAAAATTGTTATGGACATGTCCAGTGAGTTTGTTGTTGCCTAGAAAAATAGTCGTATTTAAAAAGACTTTCGGTTTCACAATGATTTTCTTACAAAATCAAATATTTCATTGTCTCGACGTTGTATACTTCAACGAGAGTTAATTTTTTTTGTTTTCAATGTTGTTTCACATTTTTCACATGACGTTACGTATCTCTCTCTTTTTGTCAGATCAGCAGATTGGACAATTGCTGCAAAGAGACATGATTTATTCGTTCCAAGACTTCGCCAGAGAGCTCAGTGTGGCTTGCAACTACAGCTCAAAATTGACAGACATTCCTGTGAACGTAAGAGAACTTAGCTGATATAAAGTTGTGTGTGAATTTTTGGGATTTTTTTAGATTTTATTTTTTATTTTTTTTTTAATTTTTAATTGTACGTATACTGCTTTTGCGCGTGTAATGTAACTTGTGCGGTTTGTAAATTATTAGTTACGTTTAAAATAATCTTCTCTTACCAATCATGCCCACAGTTCAAAACTCCAATCTACGGACCTCAGGAGCCTAATTTCACGGACTTCGCAGCTCCCGGAATAATCTTAACGTGAGTGTTATTGCACACATTAATATCAGTGTAATAATTAACAATACCAACGTGTTGAAGTTAATCTTCTATTCACAAAAAAAAAAAAACGTTATCGATAATTGTGAGAAAGAATTAAAGAAAATTATTATTATTATTATTTTTTCAGAATTCTCTTCTTTCTTTCGGTCGCGTTAACGTCAGGAGCAATGTTGATGGAGAGAAACGAGGGTTTGCTGGAAAGAAGCCTCGTGTCAGGTTTGTATTTTATAAAAAAAATTACAAAAAGATAAAAGAGACACTTCACATCTATGCGTAAACACAATTGTTATATACGTATAAATAATTAATTATACTGTGCAAAATTTTTTTCAGGTCTCAGTAGCACGGAAATTCTCTTTTCTCAAACGATAACGCAGTTCACGGTGATGTTTGGGCAGTCCGTGATGGTCCTCATTGTTTGCTTCGCGATTTTCAAAGTTACCTGCGAGGGTAACATAGGTTGGATCACAATCTTGACTATTCTCACGGGTTTCAGTGGCATGTGCTTTGGTAATTTAATTACTGATTTTATTATGTGAAACAAAATCGTCACATATGTAAAATACCTATCTCTAATTCTCGGAGAAATCGCGATTTTGTAAGATGATCTTCTCCAAAAACTTTATAGATATATTCTTTTTTATCAATCAAAGTTTACATATATCATTAAAAAAAAAAAAAACTATAATTTACTCAGGATTTGAAAAATGTTTGTACGCCATTGTTGAAGCAAAAAATTGAAAAATCCATAAAATCCTTTGATTTTTTCTCATCGACAGGTTTTGTCATCGCCTGTTTCTGTGACACCGAAAGAAGTGCCACGTACGTGGCGATGGGCTCCTTCATCCCGTTTGTGATGCTGTGCGGCATCATTTGGCCTTTGGAAGGCATGCATCCCGTGTTGAGACACATAAGTAGCATATTACCACTGACAAAGAGCACGGAATCAATGAGGGCGATGCTGGCCAGAGGTTGGCTAATATCGGAACCTACGGTTTATTACGGATTTATTTCCACTTTCATCTGGATCTGCATTTTCATGACCCTGTCGTTATTGCTGCTCAAGTTCAAGAAGGGTTAATTTAGAAAAAAAATTGTAAGATAAAAGTTGAATAAAAAAAAAAAAAAAAAAAAATTAAAACTACAGTACTTACTACTGTAAAACAGGATAAAGTCGGGACAAAGATAGCATGTAGTTTGACAACTTAATTTTAAGGTTTTAAGAAAAACGACAGTGGCTCAATTGTTAATATTTTCTTTATTTTAATGTTTTTTTTTTTTTTTTCAATTCAAAATGTAATATCAAAGTATATTCAAGAGCAAAAAATAGTACATTATAGAAAGTTCATATGTTGTGTGTTAAAAATCGTTATGTGATTATATATTTTTTGTCATAATAACACCGAGTAGTAGAGAGAGAGTGCTATGCGACTCTTCGTGTTTGCCGATAAAAGAGACAAAAGACTTGCAGCCAGTTGTACAAGGTGAATATCGCTTGCAGCATTTCATTACGTTTGACATGCAAACCGTCCAGGAAGAATCTCACGAAGAAGACGACAATCTCCACCAAAATGACGCACAGATGCATTAGCAACCAGGGTGTATATAACATAGGATATTCCTACAATTATAATTATGTGTATATATTACTTGTTCTAAGAATAAATCACACACACACACACGCACACACCCGCAACATTTAGCTCAATTTATAACATTGCACAAATAAATCAATGATGTTATCTTTTTCAACATTTTTTAATTACCGTGATAGTGCCTAACATAATTAAAGTGTAATGCTCGAATCCTAGTATCGACACCATCAGTTTCAAATCTCTCTCGACAGTCACCGGTACTCTCTCTTCAAAAACAATATTTGAAATTTGTTTTAAAAATAACTCATAGAATATCGTAGATTTTAATGTAATGCGAAATAAATTTCTTACCCTCCCGGTTGTTCCTGTGACGTGATGACACTCTAGGAATTTTGCAACTCACCGTACGCATTACATCAGCAGCCGTGATTATCTGAGAAAAAATATTTCATATTCGCGTCTAAATCGCGGAATTAAGATTAAAAATATGCGAGATATTGATTTAAGCGAGACGTAAGTGAAAAAATTAATGACAATTAATTACGACGGACTAACGGTCCCAATAAGTCCCAGAATAATCACGTACAACGAACTGCCTATGGGATAATGATTGCACAAGGAACAAGCTAGTCGTCCGATTTTCTGTAATATTTAATTGTTATACGTGTAAAACTGTACTGTTACTTAGCATTTTATTTTATTAACCTTTCAAATATAACATTCAAAAGTAACAGAGAAAAATAATATATTTATATAAATATATATCTAATTACAAAGTGTTCACCACAGGTTTTAATGTTTCGCCGATCTCGAAAAGCCATGATTTGTTTTAAACAGAAAGAAAAAAATATCCGCTCTCTTCCAAATTAGCAAAAATACATGAAAAACTGTAATCAACAAACTTCAGTACTTTTTCATACGTATCTTCCTCAAAGCACCTCTTTTTCCCGAGACGATTCAACATATACATCTATTTATATATTTTTTTTGACTATTTTAACATCTCTTTATCGATATGTTAATATCGATTCGTTTGAAATTATTAACGTGAACGACATGAAGTGAAAAACAAGCAAATTTTGTACGTAATTTTAGGTTCTTTTTTTGTCATCTCGTGATATTGTAATTAATTATTTGGTTTTTTGCGTTTTTTGATTTTTGTTTTGCTGTGTTTGCAAATTTAGCAAATTGTCTGTTAAATTATTGTTACATATTTATATATTATTTTTACAAATACATATATATTTGTGTTTCTTTATTGCGCAAAAGGACAACGCGTAGAGATTTTTTTTTTTTTAATCTCTGCAACCTCCATCAATCGCGATGGACCGTTCGTGTAATCGCGTTCGCAGCAGTCACGAAATTTATCCGGACGACGTCAAGTTTTGGGACAAACATAAAATTTGGGAGAGACGTCGCGCGAAAACGGTAAGGTTCTTCAAAATATTATTTACAAAATTTAAATATGCCCGTAGTTCCGCGCGATTTAACGTTTCTTCTTCTCGAGCAGTTGCTGATCGAAGATGAATCATCATCGCCGCGGAAACCCAAACATTTTATTTTTCACAATTCCCAATCGGTGGGAAAAATCGAAAATATATCGGAGAAAAAATCGTTTCTCCACAACGAAATTTTCGAGATAATCAAAGCGACGTTACTGGCCACATCGGTGTTGGCTCTGTGCTACTACACGTCGATGGAATACAAGGTGTACAGCATTTTGGAAAACGGTCAGATCGTTCGGGGTTTTGGATCGAGACAAGCCGTCACGTCGTTCAGTCTTGGCTACTCCATCCCACATTCCATCATGTTCTCCGTCGCGATTGGCATGCTCTTCTATTCCATTGTTTTAGTGAGCGACATGTTTTTCATCAAAAATTATATATTTCGTATTTTTCCTATAACTTTTTGTCTTGTAGATTTTATATACATCAAATTATTGTTATATATATATACATATATTGTCTTAGATTAGAAAAATTATTCGCAAACGTTATAATTCGTGAAACTTCAGAAACAGCCTCACTTCAGTCTGCCCCTGTTGGGTCTCTTTCTGACCGAGCTCGTGTGCGACTCCTGCAACGCGGTCGTAACAATTTGGTACCTCTTCGAATACCTCAAGCTGCAAACCGCGCTGTTCTACGCCACGGGATTTCTCCTGCTGATTTGTAAATCTATTTCTTTCTCGAAGTTTATATTTTTTCGTAAAACATATAACACGTTAGTTGCGTTAAAAACGCGTCGAATATTTTTAGCGGCACAAATATGGATGTGGCTCGGTGTTCTGCATCTCTACGAGCATCGACAATTCAAGTTCGCGCAATAGATGCGAAGAACCAAACGTGTGTGAATGGTGATTTTTCATCATTCTCTGCGCGTTTTTCTTGTGTATTTTTTTAGTATGTTGTGTATACGTGTTTTTTTTTTACTAATCTTTCTGCATTACTTCTCAAAGAAGAAATCACTTTTTGCCATTGTGTGCGTAAAAGTTTATTATATATATATCTCTCTTTTACCATCGTATATAAAACAAACAACAAATTATACTAAATGTGATGTACGCTTCAGATTTTTGTTTATAAATTTCCAATCGTATACACGGCGGGACAGTCGAAAATATTCATCGAACAATGTGACTTCAAATCGAGCACTTGCACCTCGGGACAGTTGTCGATCCTGAAAATAAAAAATAGATCGTCACAATATTTTGCGCAAACGTAGCAACTCTAAATTTTTTATATTCTCTGTGTATGCGTAATTCCAAGATATTGATTTCATTGAAATATTATAAACAAATACAAGATAATTGTAGTTGAAAATATAACCTTGGACAATATTTATCGAGCGCATCCTTCAAACTGTGAATTTGCGTGCTATTTCGCGATATTTCCTGCAGCAAAAATCCCGGGAACGCCTGGCAGTGCACTTGCGTCGCTTGCAGATCGATATTCGGATCGATCACGGTCAATTTGTTGAACATGTAATCTTGTTCGCTCTTTTTCCTTTTTATATAAATTATATAAAGTAGAGAAAGAAACCGATTTTTATTTTATCAATTGCGCATCTTGTTGCTTTTGTAAAGCGTTGTTACTCACGTCAATCGCGACTTATTGATGGTCAGCAAATTGCAGTACGTGCTAGGATGCATGGCAATTCCGGGAGAGTTCCAGAGCAAATACGCTTTTGCCGCCATCAGCAATAATCCGTTGCTCAGGTTGTTAGCAATGCCCGATAATTTCGATCTAACAAATTTTATTAAGAAATCGATCCTTTAAAGAAAAACTCTTGACGAGAAAATAAAATTCTTTACATATCAGATGGTCAAAATTTGCTTTTAAATTTTTTGTGTGCACGTAATATACGCATGTGTGTCTTATTGACAGTCACATGTGACAATAATATATATTTAATATGTAATTTTACTTGCTGAAAAATTCGTTGACCGATAAGTCCGCGACGAAGACGTTGCTTTGAGCGGTCAGTGCTATTTTGAAAATGTCTTCCGACGTGTTCGACGCGTCGGACGCGCGTATTAAATTGATCACGTATACCTGTAAAAGACAATGTATCCAAAATATTCAATTAATAAAAATAAAAATACATGTGTATAAATGATAATACAAAATGAATATCAAAAATAAATTATTAAATACAATGACTTATTAAATAAATAAAATATAAATGAGATCAACTGTACATTCATTTCGGGTTGGTTCCTCGCTGCGGCCTCGATGTAGCAAAATTCTCTCTCGGTCCAAACTTCCGCGGCTTGTTTCACGAAATACACGTTGAAGAAACGTTCGTTTTCGAAAATCTTCGATTCGCTGAAGTACATTTTTTTTTTTTTAATTTATAAAATCTGTTTTGCGAACTTTATGTTTATGTGTCTTTATTTAAAAAAAGGCTTTTATATGATAAATGCATACCAGCAGTTATGATTGTCATCGTTCGTCACAGGTGAGCAAAATATCATCGAGACGAAGGCAACGAGAGCTAAGCCGCTTATAACAACAGACGCCGTTAGGAACGAGGATAACAGATCGTTTGGCCATTTTCCCAATTGATTCACGACACCTTTGAGCAACAGAGCATTGCGCTGAACGTCCCGAATCGGATTTCCAATTTTGTGTTTGCCGCGCGGGAAATCGATAATCTTAACCGCGCTTCCGTCCACGAAGAAAGGAAGTTTGTCCTCGTCGAAGTCTGAGAGAATTTTCACAAATCGCGCTTTTTATTTTCAAATAAGTAGCGTCAATTTTACCGCGTTGTTTAATAATTTATATAAATTTATATAAAAATTTGTTTCTCTCGTATAAAGTGACATTTCCCACGCGATCTTATTGCAAGATGCTTTCGGATACTCACATTTGGTTTTCAGCATTCTGCTTTGTGTCACCTCTCCACTTTAAACGTCAACGATCGATATAATTTGCCGATTCAACGTCTCGCGAAGAAATGGGACGGACGTAAATCGCAAGCTACCACCTTGAAATAACGGCGAGTCGTCCGCATTACACAATCCGAATACTTCGCGCATTTTTGCAAGTTAAACGCAAATTTGATCCACAATTACACATTGCATGCTCGTTTGTTTGTTAAATTTCATTTCCCCTGATAATATATCACGGAAGTCGGTCACAACAAAAATACAACAATCTTACAATTTGTTTGAACGTTAATTAATAAATACAGAGATGTTTGAAATAAGTACAGATTTTTGTTGGGATGATAAAAAAGTTGAGTAAGGCTGAATATAAACAAACGTTTTTTGTCACCAAACATGATCTCTGATGCGTTGTTACTCCGCCACGCTGTGCTCGAGTTGCGCCTGGATGGCAGGCTGCCTGCCACACATCGAAGCATAGCGGGTTGTCTACATTCCAGGCGCCATCGATGCTTTTACTTCGCACACGTGTCGTGATTATGATTTCTTTAACACGCGAAGACGTGTTCCAAGCCTTACTTTCTAACAAAAAAAAACAATAGTTTGTTGTATATAATATATATCCTACCAGAAAAAGGGTGTGCAAATAATCAGAATTCTATCGATCTTGATTGTAGCCTCTTTTCCGCGACGTTGATTTGACGTCTCGGTGACGTTTCTCGGATAATGTGTTTCTCGATTCATGTCATACTGTCGTACGTGTACTAGCTGTCATCGCGGTGACATTGACATGTTGTGAAACCCCATGTGTACCGCGAAGTGCGCGTTTTGATATCGAATGTATCGCATCTATTGTTGCTTCTTTTCCGTATTGCCGATTGATTGGTTGATCGAGTAGAGTCGAGTCGAATCGAATCGGTAAGATCGAGAGAGTAAATAAACGACAGAAAAGCGATTTTGAGACAGTTCGTCGTATACGTGGAGAAAATTAAAAACGTGATTAAAGTCACATGACAGGAAAGAGTAGAAAAACAACACGTGACTAAGGTAATGTGACTGTAATATATATTATACATAACATTAAATAATATATATGATATAAATAATATATTAAATGATATATATTATACATATAATTCATTATATATTTATAATGTTATACTTTATATTATATATTATATATATTATATACATACTACCGTAAGGTCACTGACCTCGGTCGCGTGACCGCGGCGGAGTTATTGACCTCGGCCGCGCGGCCTTGGCGGGGTCACTAACCTCGGCCGCGNGTCACTGACCTCGGCCGCGCGACCGCGGCGGGGTCAATGACTTCGGTCGCGTGACTGCGGTAGAGTCACTGACCTCGGCCGCGCGACCGCGGCGGTATTACTGACTTCGGTCACGTGATTACGGTATATATATATATATATTATATATGCATATATGCGTATGCGTGTGTATTATATATAGATATAGAATATTACATATAATGTATATAATATTCTCTCTCTCACTATTTTTTGAGCTTGATTTTTATGCGTTATTTCTGACATTTCTCATATGTGTATTATATGGTTTATAAGACGGTGGTTTTTATACCGTCACTCCCTACGTATAATCCCGTAACTCCAAAACGCAAATTTTAGAGGAGAGCAGTTTAAAAGTTTAAAGCTTCATATAGTTTCCCTAGTTAAGGGATCTTTCGGTTTTAAATTTTCACCATACTTATGAATATTTTTTTTTAATACTTGGTGACCACAAAGAACATGACTTTCTGAGTGTCACTATGCAATAAACTGAAAATCCCATATGTGACACTTATGTAATTATACGTAGGGAGTGACGATACTATCTGTCATCGCGGTGACAGGTTGTGTTCACTGACAACACGTTAAATAAAAATAACAATAGCGTGCGCGTAGCGCGCGCCTGTGTTGTGCTAGTTGACAATAAGATTGTTACTTTTTGAAAACAAGAGGGAAGAGCTGTCAGCGCGCATAAATGTGGGTTTTCAATTCATCGTGCAAAAGTCATCAACGGTCTATACATGTGTGGTAAAGGAATTGACGAATGAGATTTGACGCTTGCTATTGGATGCGAAGCGCGGTACTCTTCCGGTATTTCATTTTTCAGCGAAGATTTTGAGGTTAATAAGGTTAAATGCTGAAATACTGTTTAAAGATTGGAGCGTGTGCAGGTGCTCTGGTGCAGCCTAACCTAACTTGCTTTAGAGCCGACAAACAGTCAAATCAAGCTAAAATAATATTATTGTATGTATTGTTTTGAAATTAACATTCCAAATAGAAAACGATGTCAGCTGTGAAGCCTGAGGTAAAAAACTGGAAAGAGTACAATCGCAAACGGAAGGAGTTTCGAAAACAGCAAAAGGAGGAGAAGTTGTTAAAGAAGGCCAAGAAAACGGAGCTCGAGAAGGAATCGGAGGATAAAACGAAAGAACAGGTAGACGAGGAAAATTATGTGAGACGAGATATCTGCACTGTGAGCATAGCGGTGCCGGGGTCGATCCTCGATAACGCGCAGTCTCCGGTATTGCGAACTTATCTGGCGGGACAAATTGCTCGTGCGGCGTGTATATACAAGGTGGACGAGATCGTAGTGTTCGATGACAAAGGCGAAGTCACGGAGAATGAGAAGAAGAAGATCAGAAAGGACGACGTGTTGGGAGAGAGCAGGATTGGATGCGTACAATTGGCGAGGATACTGCAATATCTGGAGTGTCCGCAGTATCTCAGAAAGTACTTCTTCCCGATTCACAACGACTTACAATACGCGGGTTTATTGAATCCTCTGGACACACCTCATCATTTGAGACAATCGGAAAAATCTTTGTTCCGAGAGGGAATGATTACGAACAAGCCTGTTAAATCTGGCCATGGTTCGCAGGTAAACGTAGGACTGCTGAATGATGTTCATGTGGACAAGATACTGACATCTGGATTACGAGTGACAGTAAAGATACCGGCCGAACAACAGAATCCAAAAAAATTAAAAGGTATTCTTGTGCCACCCAGTACACCACGCATAGAAACCGGAACGTATTGGGGATATACTGTTAGACTAGCTAACAATCTGACCGAGGTGCTGACTAAATGTCCTTATAAGGAAGGATATGACTTGACAATTGGAACCTCTGATAAAGGAACATCCATTGACGAAGTAGAAAAGAAGAGCTTACGTTATCATCACTGTCTCATAGCATTTGGAGGACTTGATGGATTAGAAGCTGCTGTGGAGGCGGATCCAAATCTGAACATTGGCGACGATCCGTCCTTAGTGTTTGATAAATATGTGAACACATGCCCTGAACAGGGATCACGAATCATCAGAACAGAAGAAGCTATTCTTCTGACTCTGGCTGAATTAAGGACTAAATTGGTACCTAAAGAAATTGTTCTCACAGATATAAAATAATTTATAGCAATGAAAATGTTTTTGTTTTTCATTTTTTTTGTTTTTTTATATTATCATTTTATTAATAGCAACTCTTTCAAAAAAGAACGTGCAGATCTTTTATATACATACTTGTACTATGTTTATAAAAAATATCAAAGTGTTTTTGTACTGTGTTTTCTTGGAAAAAAGTACATTTCTATATTTATACAATATTTTTAGTTACTTCCTTAATGATTAATTTGATTGTGACCCAAATAACAATTTACCGTGTCTCTAAGATTTGTAATTACCTTAGCTTGATCGGAAGAACCTATTATAGCTGTTCCAGACACAATCATATTAGCACCAGCCTGGTGAGAAAATCAATTACAATAAAGTTGTAAGTTTTAATTTTGTGTGTACATTTAGACGATCTCTAGATTTTTTAACACACACTCTTTTTATATTAAGATACATGTAAGTGCGTACCTTGGCACAAGCTTCAATTGTAGACGGTCCAACTCCACCGTCAACTTCAATATCCATTTCGGGATAATTTTTCCTGAGCCATGCGACTTTTTGCATCATTGGTTCCATGAATTTCTGTCCGCCAAAGCCAGGCTCCACTGTCATTACTAAAATCAGATCTGCTAAGTCTACATAGTCTGTTATCACATCCACAGGAGTTCCAGGCTTAAGTGCTACACCAACCTGTTAAATGTTATATTTCACAATTCGTCAATAATAAATCCAATAAAATTCATGAATTCTCAAGAAAGAAGAAATATATTTATAAACAAAATATCATTGTTTTACCTTCATGCCTGCTTCCTTCACTTTTCTACAGACCAAAGGAACATCTTCCACAGGCTCAACATGGAATGTGTACTGATCAACGTTAGCATCGGCCATGGGGTGAATCCACTGTCAATCATATTTACATGTTGTACACGCAAAATATAAAGATAAAAATTTATTTGTTTAATTTGATCCAAGTTGTTTTTTTTTACACACTTGCTCCGGTTTAGAAACCATCATGTGCGTTTCGAAAAACGCGTCTTTTATTTTATTGCGCAGGCACTTCACTATGGGATGACCAAACGAGAGATTGGGAACGAAGTGTCCGTCCATCACGTCCAGGTGCAGGTAATCCGCACCGTTGTCCAGCAACTTTTGCGACTCTTCGTAAAGTTGCGCCAAGTCAGCGTTCAGAATCGACGGTCCGATCTTCGCGTTCAGATTCTTCATTGCTTCTCGATATTTTTTTTGACGCGTGTTTTACAAACGATAAATAAATTCAATAACGAAATTGTTTACCTATATGTACATTCGATGCGGCTTTCACGATCAGAGATAGAGAACGATAAGAAGAAAATATTGGCGTCACTCGAGTCGCGTATCAGCTGACATAACCAACCGCATCACCCGTGATTAACCTTCACCATTTGACGTAACGCGTTGACAAGCAGATTAGGCTAGATTAACGGAGCAAAGAAGTTTTTGAATTTGTATCTCGCACGTTGAACGAAAAAAGTATTATGTCAAACAGTGAGTCGCCGCAAAGATCATCGTCAAAACTCGGATTATTTTTCGTTGCTGCCACAGGTTTGTCTCTCTCATTTTGGATTAATATGAGATCTTAACGTTTTGTTAACACTATATTTTTAACACACTTTTACATAACTCTGTTTAGGTGGAATCGCAACAGCGATCACTGTTGTGTGCTTTCCATTTGTGAGTCCTGCATTTCGCAAGATATGCCTGCCTTACGTGCCCGCTACAAATCAACAAATCAAAAATGTTATGCAAGCGTTAAATAATCGTTCTGGATCATTGATCGACCTCGGCAGCGGAGACGGACGCATTGTGAGTTTATAATTTTGAACAAAAAATTATTGATTTAAAAAATACACAAAAATATATAAAATATAAAACAACGAATGTTCTCTCACAACTTGTTCAACACACATGCAAAAAAAGAATTTTATATATTTCACACAAACAGGTTCTTGCGGCCGCAAAACGTGGTTTTCAGGCCCACGGTATCGAGTTAAACGTCTGGCTCGTGTGGTATTCGAGATTCAAGGCACTGTTAAACGGCGTATCGAGTAAAACTGCATTTTTTAAGCAAGATTTATGGAAGTACAATTTGGGAAGATACAACAATATTGTTGTATTCGGTGTGGATCAAATGGTATACGCGATCTCCGCAACTTTATTGCAGCTTTGGAGATATTGTTAAGAGAAAAAATGTATTTTTACTTAAACAAGAAATTGAATTCTTTTTGTTTTTCACAGATGGAAGATATAGAAAGGAAGTTTAATCAGGAATTGTACAAAGATACTTTTGTGATTGCATGCAGATTTCCTCTGCCTAATACATATCCCATCATGACAATTGGACACGGAGTTGACACCGTCTGGGTTTACAAAAAAGGCATCTTGGAATTGAATTTGAAGTAACAAAGATTTATATCTTTAGGTCAAATGAATTGCAATAGAAATAGGATCTTTACACATGTAATAAGTAAGTATTTTATTGAAGATGAGATATATAAAACATGTTGATAATGAAAAACACAAACTAGATGTTAAAAAAAAGAAGTAATTTTACATCTTTATATTATAAAATGTTAAATAAATTACATTATTGTCCGTGTAAATTCTTCACAAGACACTGCACATAAACTATAAAACACCGATTATTTACTTCACACATACATTTGTGATACGTGGATGTGAAACAACACTTCGTTGAACTTATCGCGCTTTTTACGTTATGAGATTTTCTTGCAAAATATTAAGACTATTTGTTGCAAAATCTATATTACAGACATAACAACTATACAAAAAGGTGATATAAAAAAATGTAATCTATACAGTTATGACGTATATTTTTTATTATATGTTCAGTGATCAATGATGAAAAATTGAGCAATGAGATTTGAAACTCCGATAACAGGAATACTCAAGTGAATCACTAGAGAGCACACAGTCAGCTTTCCTTCTTTTCTCAGGATCGACAAGTGCAATAAACTCGGCAAAGTAAAGACGTAAATCAGTCCACTCAAAGCGCCAGTGTATCTGACGATGGTCCCGATGTAAGGCATAAATGTCGCGAACAAAATGCACACGAAAACTAGTATGAGATTAATGACAAGTATCCAATGCCGCTTGGTGACTTCCTTGCACATAGACGAGAGCAACTGAATGCGCAGCATGTACGCGAGCAACGGATAAACAGTCATCAGTTGGAAGAGCAGCAATATGCGAGCGCCAATAGTGAGGCCGTCCCATTTTTGAAAGTTGTTCAAAAGATTCTGCAAATATAGAATATATATATATATATATATATATGTTTCCGTGCTTAGAAAGAGAGCACGAGAATAATTTTTGCATTGTGCGCAACTTGTGTCTAGATACACGGAACCACTTACGTCTTCTATGCACGACTTAGCCAAGGGAAAGCACATAAAGAACACCGCTCCGACGATGATGTAAGTTAACGTGACGAGAATATACGCTATCGTCAAATCCCTTCCCTGAAAACAAGTTTATATGTCATCTGATTTTTGTATTGTCGTAAGAAGGTGGATGTTGTCTCTTTTTTCGAGTTACTTACATTTTTCTCTTGATTGCGATTACTTTGCATTACAGTGATTATGATGTTGTGAATGAAGAACGACATCGCCAGTATCCCGGTAAGAGCCGGAAACGTGGGCTGTAATACGGTGCTCGTCGCCCAATCGTGTTGATCCATATTGATGCCCCACGATGCGGATTTTATCAGCACGAAAATGACCACATATACAATTGACACCGTTCCTGTATGATATATATATATTAAACATTTTACAACATAACGCAATCCAGACGGATTGTATTAGCCAGCGTGTGAAAAGTACATCGCGTGAATCGCGAAAATATCTTAGTGGCAATTTGAAATATGACAAAGATATATGTTTGAAATTGTCACGCGTACCGAGGGAATTGAACTTTGTGAAGAACGTCGTGCTGTTAAAATTCAAGAAAGGAAATATCAACAGAGCCAGGAAAACAGGCACCGTGTTGTGCAGGTCCCATGCCGGTCCTAGCGCGTCAAATGTCTTTTCGTGGATCACAATAGTGTCATTAACATGGATATCTTTTTTCGGACATAGAACTGCAAGTAAGTTTGGTGTATTAAGTCAGAGAGAAAGATCTTCTCCTTTCGAGAATGAACACAAAAACAATCATCAAAAACTTCTCATTTGCACGTTACCATACCTTCTGCGTACGTCATGTTTTCAGACACGGAATGCGTCGATCGACCGGATACATTATCTGCGAAATCAAAAAAAAAAAAAAAACCAGCAGTGTATCTCTTCAAGATCTATATGGACTTGTGCATCTCTCTGTATATGCTGGGATTTGGAAATGTTGAGAATTCTTACCATAAATAAAATTGACGCTGTTGTACAAAAAGTTGGTCATCAATACCCAATAGGCCACGGTTGCGCCCGTCAGCACGGCGATGCTAAAAATCTGGGCGATGTACTCCGCCCATTTGCCGAGATATATTCGACACAATTCTATGACCTCTATGTGCTCTCCTCCTCCTTTCCGAGAAAAATACGCAAAAACGACGATTAAAATTTGCAGCCTGCGAGATTCGCGGAGGAAAATTCTCTTACCGTGATAGGCGTGCGTGGTTATGAGACGGTAAGCGGTGTACAGACACAAACCGCTCATAATTAGATTGAAGATGATCCCGGGAAAGAATCCGGCCATTGCTATTCCCCACGGCATCGTCAACAACGACGATCCCAATATCGTGTTCCATATCGAAAATCTGAGAAGATAGAAATTTTTATTTTTTTGGGAGAGCGATGGGAGTATAAATTCAACGCATAAATTTGACGTCGCATATCGGAGGAAGTAAAAACTGGTCATCGAATTTCGTATGAACTACCGGTCTGACCGGAAAGACAACTTGAATAATTGTTCACTCTTTAAGAGACATAATTATTTATTGATTATTCATATTTCCTTTTTCTTAAATGTGCGTGATTATATAATATATATATACCTATATGTTGTGACTACATCACGTTATTTTCATCGAACGAATATATTTGTCCGATAACGGATACACTGGCCGAACGTTCGAGCTCGTAAAGATATCTCCTATCTCTGTCTCTTGACAGGATCCGTTTATAATCGAGACTTATGCGCAATATTATCGTGCGCATATTCTTTCGAATTTAGTTTATCTAATTCCGAATTTCATAATTTTAATCAAACAAACATACGCCAATTACGTATGCGAACCAAGGACAAGGCGTAATCTCTTTGTGTAATTCTATTTCTAAACTTGACTCTCTCTCATACAATAGTGTAAACATGATTTCGCGAATTGGCGCGTAATCGGTGTGACGACCGAGATAATCGCGCAATTTCGCACTATCGGCCAAGACCCCACCGACTTCTTGGAATATAAACATCCGATTTTGTGAATTACATTCTCATCGTGATTTTACATTTTTTTTTTTTTTAATCGAACGAATTTTTCAGATCGTTTGTAAAAGGATCACACTTGCGTTCTCTCTCGCTACCAAAATAAAACTCGCATCAAAGAGATTACCGTCACGCGCGTACAGGTAATCTCTTTCCATCCTTCCTCTTATCAAGTCTCCGTATTCAACGTCAAAAAAAAAAAAAAAAAACGTTTTTAGAATCTTCTCCGAAATTTACGACGCGATTAATCTTGCGTTTGGAGCAAAAATTTGTGAAACGAAATCTTTATTGAGATTTTCTGATTCCTTTTCTCGTCAGGAATGTAAGAAAAATGTGAGAAAAATCTCGGTTTTTATTTCAATCATGGCATATTCTAATCGTCTCGTGAACGACACGTGTGACGGGCGCGCGATTGTCATTTTCGTGCGCGTACGCACGTGCGTGAGGCACAACACGACGTCGGAATCCTCGGCTCTCCGGGGATTGTGCTACTTTCGAGACGCGCCAGCCCAACAGCGGACAATCGAACCCGAGGTTCGTTGCGCCCGGCGAAACGGACCTTGGGCGCGCGGGTTGGCGGCGGCGGCGGCGGCCTGCTAAGGGCATTCACCTTCGGGGCGGTCGTCTGTTGCCCGGGCAACAGACAAGAGCGGTAACCCCTTCGGGCGAAACCGTCGCGCCGCGTTCTAGACGTCCCGGTCGTCGCGCCGGTGCGCGCGTTGGCGCGAGACGTGCACCTTTTTCGTTCCCGCGTCTCGAAAACGGGCGCGCGACGTCGTTTTATTCGATCATTCCGTTTTAAGAACACGCTCGGCGTTCCCTGATATAATCCCGTGGATCGCGTCCTCTCGACACGGGCGAAACGGGCGACGGCGAGATCGGGGTCGTTCCGCTCGACGCCTCGTTTTCCAGACGTGGGAACGAAAGTGCGAGCGAGATCGGCTCGCTAATGAGCGTCTCTCGCGAGATTCTCTTCGTCGAGAGGCTCGGAAACATCGAGATTCTCCAAGGCGGGATGTTGCTGAGTAGCGCGAGCAGCGGTTGACATTCGTAAAATGGTGAGTTTTTTTACAGAAAAAATTGTGTTCGAAAACCGCGAGCGTCTGTGTAACGCGCTCGCATTTAGGTTATATCATTACGTGTGTGGTTGTGCGTGTATATGTATAGCACACGTAGAATTAACGTATAGGGTACTACTACCACATATATATCAACGTGCGTGCGTGCGTGCGTGCGTCGGTGTATCGCTCGAGAAGATGAGAACGACGATATCGCGAGTAATAAAATTTCGTTTATATTTGTTAGCTGATATTGGCTTTCTCGCGCGAGAAAAAAAAAAAATCACGGTTACGACATCTCGATTAGCTCGCGCTTTTATCGTCGTTTCGGTTACAAAACTCTCTCTCGCGGGAGTTACACTTCTCTCTTTCTTCCTTTTTTTTTTCCTCGCGTTGTCTCTCTATTCGCGCGAAAAAGAAAGCGATAACTCGCGCGATATTGGTCGTCACCGATCCGTGCCAAAAAAAAAAAAAATTGTAGCTTTCGACCATCCTTCGTCCCCTCCACCCCCCCCCCGTATTATTTTCCAATAATATAACAATAATGAGAGAGCTATCGCGTGCGAGAGTCAATTGTACGCTTTGTACGTATACACATGTACATTCGTCGCTTGTGTCTTAATCGCGCGTTTTTTGGAACACACACGCACTCACACACACACACACACACACACACACACACACACACACAGCAAGAGATAGATTACTTGAACGCGATAACGTTTGAAATATAGCGCCGTCGTATATAATAAATTTTGCCCTTCCTCTCCGTCGAGATATATCGCGGCGGTTCGATGAAGAAAGAATCGATTCAGGATGCGCTGATGCAAGTTCGGGATCCGTTGCCATCAGCCATCCCGAAGAGATAAATAAGCGCGCACACACGTCATACACGCGATACAAAAAGAATCTCGCTGAGACGCATACAATTGTACGTAACCAGACACACAACGATGAGCAACAACACACACCCAGATAATCATTTATTAAGTTTATTACTGATAACACCTCTCGATTTCTATTTCTGTTTCTTTTCCGCAACGCAGGACGATTGGTGACGTTCGACGTGTGCGAGAGAGAAAAAACTGATATATCTTGATGTCTTTTGCGCGAGGGGAAAATAAATGTTCCTCTCTTGAAAAATTCTCCGCGAGAATCGGATTTGAAATTCGTTGCGTTGCAAACGAAACAAATTTATTAATTACTTATGTGTTAAACATTCGTGTATTTTTTTTTTTTTCTGCTGTTTCGCTTCGCGCGTCTTTCCGAGTGTGTCTCACGAGTGCGAGGGAGAGTCTGTTGAAAAGCAACAAAGTTTGTTTCGTCGACGCGGAACAAATATAAGTTAAATAATCAAAACAATAAATTTTTGTCTGTTTTGGAAGATAATTTGTAGGTAAGATAATTGAGAAAATAATATATTTTGTTATGTATCGTTAAACGTTACGAAATTGGTTCAAAGTTTAATCGATACTGCTCTATGCGAATACGAGCAACAACCCGGAGGGGGAAGAACCAAAAGACACCGAATTACACAATCTCTCTCTCTCTCTCTCTCTCTCGCTCTCTCCCAATCCGATGAATGTTCGTTTCACGCTCGGCAAAAGTGTGTGCGTCGATCGTTGACTCACACGGCGCCAGTTATCGGTGCACTCATCAAAAGATCATCCGTTGCATAAATGTGATGACGTTATTCTAGCAATTTCTCCGACACTTCCATGGCGTATCTTTCTCGTCCGAGGAGAGAAGGAGATAATACTCACATAGTGACGAGCGAACTTTGTTTGGGACAATCCTTGCCGGAAATCCGCGCGTCCTGTTGAATGTGCGACGAATTTCCGAGGAGATTCGCCTCGCGCAGTTTCTCCCTCGCGTAATTTCTCTTCGCATCGAGAACGTTGTTTATCCGTATCTGCGAAAAGTGATGCAAAACTCGGAGGAGATTGAAAGAGACTCGCGGATCTTATTTTTAGAGATGCGCCAATTTTTATCGCTTATCGTTCGACGACTAATAAACGTATTTTATTTTTATTTTGTGCGTTATCTGCATTGTGTGTACGTGATTAGTTATTTTCTTTACCAGGTCGATACCGCGCGGATCGTAATTCTTCTTCTCGTGAACGAGGTTCACCGTGCAGGGTGGATTCGCCGCCGCGGGAACGAGCAGTTCATTGTCCCTCGTTAGAAGGGGTGGCCTTTTCAGCACAGATGTTACGACGGTTGTGCCGTAACCGTTGGCGTCAATATTTCTGTATCTAGAGGAAGAGAGAGAGAGAGATAACGAAGATCTCGGTAAAATCACGTTTATCCTCCACACGCGACGTTAATACAAATATTCGTGTTTCCGTAACGTACTTGAGGGAGTGATTCCGACTTAGATCCAAGTCGCTCGTTTCCGTGTCGTCACCGAATATCACCGGTTCCGGACTTGTTCGCGGCTCCGACGACAGCAACGGCGTGCTCTCGGATCCGCTGTCTCGCGACGAGTTCTCCTCCCGGTAATTGCGAGATTTGTACATGATGCGACCAACGAGAAAACGATCTGCAAAACAAAGAAAGATCTCGGATTAACGCTGTTGTGTATAAATTTTCTTTTTTTTGGGGGGGGGGGACAGATTTCCAGAAGCGACAATAGATTTCGATTACCATCGCGGCAATGAAGAAAAAAATACGAAAATTTTTTTTATTGGAATCAAAACTACAAAATAGCTCTCTCTCTCTCTCTCTCTGTTTTTACTTTTCGACTGTTCGATTCTCATTCCGATGAATTCGTATCGGTGATTGACTGCAAAGTGGTTTTGATGGATTTTCGTGATGGAAAAATGTAGACCGAGTAATTTTACTCGAATCCATCAAAACTCCGGGTCGTTTAGAAAAACCGAATCTACAATTCGGAAAAAATACGTTGCTTATCTATTACATTTCTTTCTGTCTCCAGTGAGGAAAGTCCATCTTTCATTTATCAACAATTAGATATTCATGCTTTTCCGTTTCTCCTGAACATTATTGTTTTTTTTTTTGTTGTTCCGGTGTAGAAAAGAACTCACACTGGTGTGCGCACGGATATATAGCATGTTTATTTAAAACAAAGTGACCTGAATAAAACCGGAAATATCTTCGGGTTCTTATCTAGGAAAGATTATACGTTATTTATCATTGTCCACTTGAAGTCTCTCGGATTTTTTTTCCTCAAAAGATTTGAATATTTGAAGAAGAAAAAAAAAACAAGAATAAATGCTGAGACAAAGACAATGGGATTGGGACAATTAAATTTGTTTCAAACGTGCTTTCGAAACGACGTTTCAATTTTGCGTCCAGAGAAAACTTGAGCGAAAAATGAAAATTCGGAGAGTTTCTTGGTTCCAGGTTGAGAGAGAAATGCGTGCACACTTACTTGGAAATGAGTAATTTAAACGACGATTGTTCCACGTTGTAACATCGTGTTCTTACATCCGACGAGGTCCTCTCTCGTGTTACTCGGCATATTTTTTATTTTCTTTTGCATGAAAAAAAAAAAAAAAAAAAAAAAAAAAAAAAAAAAAAAAAAAAAAAAAAAAAATATCCCCGGAGTCTCTCTTTTACACGCCGCTGTTTCTTCGTCTTGTTACCGTCTGCAAAAGCGTGAACGTAGATAGCCGAATTCAGTGTAACAAATTGCTCGTTTACGGTGTAATATCGGTTTTTATCAGAACGATAAGCGCATAAATCTCTCGCGGCTTGGTCTCGAATTAACTCCTCCGATTATGGGGGATCAAGAAACGCGCGCGCTCGAAGAGAATTATCGGAATAAGCTTCGCGGAACGATAACGCATCTATTCCCATGACTTTTAATCGCGCACGTAAATTGAAAAATCGACGGCTCTTACTCTTTTCACCTCCTCCCAATGCGGATCGGCTCGTGCCTCGGATATACTGAACGAAACTACTGATATCAGATTTTTTGAACGGAGTCTCTTGCTCCTTCTCTCTCTCTCTCTCTCTCTCTTACATACAGATAACGAATACAAATGATTCTGATGATTACATCACCGTGTTTGCCGGACGGTCCGCTAGAAAACTGGGTTTTGGAGTAAGTTCATCTCGGTTTTATAAACTCGCGAACTTTTATATCAGCCCATCCTTGACTTGAAACACAACTCTTCTCCCACCACGTACGGTCGCACGTCAGTGCGCACACGCGAGTAAGCAAACAGCCGGCTTGAGCGACGATTGATCACCGTTCGATCGTTCGAACACGCGAATCACATGTGCGTTTCGCGGAGGTAAACCCCACAGTGTTCCTCGACGCGAACACGATCGACCGTCGGCACGTGATCAGATATCCCCCATGTGTGTGTGTATCTGGGGACCTCAAGAAGCTAATATGCGAAACCGTCTTTTATCGTTCTTCCCGGATTCGCGCCGAATTTCCGATCTGTTCCGATTTCGCTAAATCGCGGATCGAAAACGTGAATGAACTCGTTCACGAGGAGAGCGCGACAACACCCTCTCACAGATATCACTTTTTATAGATCCGATTATAGATCTCTTCCACGAAGCGAAGTAGGGTACAGCTGATTAATCGGCTTGAGAACAGATCGCTATCTCTGTTGCGCCGAGTTAATCCGAATTTTATCTTCGAAGCAAGCGTTTCGTTCTCCCGCGTTTTCGATTAAAAAAAAAAAAAAAAAACCAACAAACAAATCGTTCTCGCGCGAGATATCCTGCAACATTGTAAAATACTTTTATATCTCACATTCGTTTCTCCAATCGTCAATCTAATCTAATTTTTCTGTTTTCCGAGTAACATCCTCCAGCGAGCTCTCTTGAAATATTTTTATATTTTAGAAAAAAAAAAAAACACTTCTCGTCGGCGATTGAATATAGTTGCGACACGAAAAACAAATCTATAAATAAACTGTTTTAGCATTTGATTCTTGTGTTTGCAACTTGTGTTGATTAGTTTTCCTCGTTGCTGCGCGCACTTTATATCTCTACGAGCGCGATGTCGTTGAAAAACTGTAACGTGTTTTTTTTTTTTTTTTTTTTTTGTTTTTTACTTATCTTAATTTAAAGCAACGCTCCTTGACGTCAGACTCATGCATTAAGCAATTTCCCGCATTCTGTTGTTGAATATCTATCTACCTCTCGGCCTGGTTTCTTATAAATTTTTCGAAGTAAAGTCGTTAGTCGTTGTAGCGAGTGCGTCGTGTGTATAAGCGAACTCTTGCTGGTTGTGTTCCTCGAGTTTCTCTCTTCGCCGGTTATCCAACGGAAGGAACGACGGTCGCACGTAAGTCGAACTCCGGTGCGTGTCTATCATTTGATGTCTTGTTGTTGTTTAACTTCCGCGTTATTAGTCTAAGCATCAATTGTTTACAGAGAGCTGTGTTATCTACGCTTTACGCTTATTTACACACACATTCGTCTACTTCCAGAGAGTCGTGTCTCTCGTCGCTTATCTCCGTCTCTGAAAGTAAATGTTTGTTACTTAGCGCGAAAACTCTGTCTCTCTCGGCGGCGAAGCGTTCGAAAATTTATCTTGAGAATTAATTTCGGTTTTAACTTCTGTATATACGTAACAGAGGCGAGCCCAGGTTCTGCCATATACAGAAGTTTGCAGCGAAATCAAATCGTCAAATCGAACGGCGCGTTAAAAACTCGCAAGATGTGTTTTTTGAAAAAAAAAACAATTTGACAAAATTAAATTTCTAAGACGCATTTTCTTCGAATATATTGACGAGTTATAACACTAATCGTTTGCGCGGACATTGAGACGAGACGCCGCGTTTGAAGTTGCACGCGCAACGAACATTTTCGAAATGTTGTTTGATAGAGTAACGTTTCTCGCTTACCAAGAGAAACAAGTCGCAAGAATATTTTTACATCCTGACGCTTATGATTATGCAGAAGTGACGACTGTGTCGAGTTAACATTATTATGTGGGCGTGTCAAAAAGATACTTATGTAAAGATATAATACGACCCGATGTGTAATCCTCTCTCAAAAGATCGGTGTAACGTTTCCCTCGCTTGCCACAGGATGTCTATGTATTATACATATATATGTATACAAGTACCAATAAGTTCCCCTGACCTACGTGATTCGGCTCTGGCGTGCACGTGCGCGCGAGAGGCACGACAGCTGGTGGCGGCCGATCTTACCAAGATGGCGGCCGCCCGGCGGCGGCGGCGGTCCGTGCCCTTGCGTGTCATTGACAGCGGAGCAGGCAAAGTTCAGACCGCTGGCAGTTATCTGTCGGCTGTTGCGTGAGCTTGGTCTCTTCTCCCTTCCTGATCTGTTGTACCTCCGCCGATCACAGAGAGCACAACACACAGCGTTTTTTATATATATACTTATATATATATATATATATATACATATAGGATCTCGTTTTTTTTTCTTTCCGATTGCCAGAGCGCACCTGCTGAACCCGGCGGGCAAGACACGATGTCCACTACGTCGATAACGAGTCTGACGGTGAAGACGCGGGTGTACGACGGCCAGAAGCCGGGCACCTCGGGTCTGCGTAAAGCCGTGAAGGTCTTTCAGCAGGAACACTACACGGAGAACTTTGTCCAGGCGATACTGCTTGCTCTGGGCGATCAACTGGCCGGCTGCACCCTCGTCGTCGGCGGCGACGGACGATTTTACGGAAAGGAAGCGGTGACGAAGATCATACGTATCGCCGCGGCGAATGGGGTAAGGTCAATTCGCCTTGTGTGTGTGTGTGTGCGTGTGTGTGCGTGTGTTGAGTTATTTTCAGACCTGTACCTATCAGATTGATAAACCGTCTTGGCAGAGACGGTTTTGACAATATTGTATATCTCAAGACTGTAAGAAGATAGGACGGTATTGTGTTTCAAGACAGAAGAAATATAGGCAAATTGCTCCTAGCAAGCAGTCTTTTTTTTATGAAACTCGAAACTTGATAGAAGAAACCAGCATCTGTCCATATATAGCAGGAGTACATGAGAACGTGTCCAAATCCAACGAACAATCTAAAACATGTAAATCTAAACAATGTTTTGTACGATTCTGTGCGATTTTTTATGCGGATATTATTGGTTTCATGTGATTTTGACACTGTGAAAATTTCACGGTTAACAAAGAAAATTACACACATGCTCGAGTTATATAATACAGTTTTTCTTTCTCACTTTGAGAAGTAATTTTTCACACGAGAAATAATTATAAGAGATGCAAAGAGATGAAAATAACCTGCTCTTGAGAAAAACGTCGGTGATGACGAGGTTGCTTATATCGCAAAACTTTGATGTTTTCTTTTTTTTTGTTTTTTCAGGTGAGAAAACTGATAGTTGGACAGAATGGCATTCTCTCAACACCGGCGGTGTCGACCATAATTCGAAAGTATAAAACGCACGGCGGGATTGTTTTAACTGCGTCGCACAATCCTGGCGGGCCCGATGCTGACTTTGGCATTAAATTCAATTGCGATAACGGCGGCCCGGCTCCCGACAACGTGACGAACAAAATCTACGAAATCACCAAGACACTTCAGAGCTACAAGATTATTCCCGAATTCGCCATAGATATTGACAAAATAGAAAACACATCGATCGAAGTCGACGGTAAACCGTTCACCGTTGACGTGATCGATTCCGTGAACGATTACGTGGAACTCATGAGGAACATTTTTGATTTTGCGAGTATAAAAACGTTGTTGCAAGGAAGCGCGGACAGGCCGGCGTTCAAGATTCTCATCAATGCGATGAATGGAGGTTAGGCATTATGTAATTTAATATTATAACATTTGTTGATCTTTTTTTTTTTTTTGCATATTTTTCTTAGTGATAAGAATCTCTAAGTGAACCTCCTGTTGATTTTCAGTTACGGGACCGTACGTTAAACGTATATTTAGCAGCGAATTAGGCGTCGATGACTCGAGTTTAGTCAATATAAAGCCATTAGAAGATTTCGGTGGTTTGCATCCCGATCCAAATTTAACTTATGCCAAAGATTTAGTGAATGCTATAAAAGAGGGACCGTACGATTTCGGTGCGGCTTTCGATGGAGACGGTGACAGAAATATGGTGAGAATAAAATCGATGATATACTGTTAAAAACAAACATTTATATTTTTCTAATAGCATGCGTAAGATTGTGATTCTAACGACGTGTTCAACGACGCTATTTGCACATATTGTTTTCAGATCTTGGGCAAGAAAGCCTTCTTCGTTACTCCCTCCGATTCCTTAGCGGTGTTAGCTGCTAATCTAAAATTAATTCCATATTTCCAAAAGACTGGCGTCAAAGGATACGCTAGATCCATGCCAACAGCCGCGGCTGTCGATAGAGTTGCCGCGAAGAATGAAATGAAATTCTTCGAAGTGCCCACCGGATGGAAATACTTCGGTACGCAAAACAACATTTGTTTGTAGCACAGCGTGTTGTGCAAAATTCAATCGCGATAACACAAAAACTGTCTCTAATATAAATTTTAGGAAATTTGATGGACGCTGGGCAACTCTCGTTATGCGGCGAGGAGAGCTTCGGTACCGGTTCCGATCATATTCGCGAGAAGGACGGAATATGGGCTTGTCTCGCATGGCTCAATGTGATCGCGGGGCTCGGCAAATCTGTAGAAGACATTTTATTAGATCATTGGAAAGTTTATGGTAGAAACTTCTTTACTAGGTACCGTGTCTATAGAATCTATTGTCTTTGGTCATATTTCTCGCGTTTATTTCAATTCGTTCTAATTCCCGTCGATGATTTTGTTTATTATATAGATATGATTATGAAAATTGCGATTCCGCATGCGCGGACAAAATGATGCAGAGCATCGAGACTCTGATCCAGAAGCCGGAATTTATCGGCAGAAAATTGCAGTACGAAGGCAAAATGTACGTGGTCAAGCACGCGGACAATTACTCATACACGGATCCCGTTGACGGTAGCAAAGCTGCGAAACAGGTACGTTTCCGCAAATAATTTTTACACAAATTTTCGATTGCTGTTTGTCGAAACCTTTCAAAATTCGTCAAATTTTGTTTCTTTCTTTCTTTTCTCTTCCCACGTGATGATACACAGGGTCTACGGATATTGTTCGAGGACGGTTCCCGCATAATATTCCGCTTATCCGGAACGGGAAGTTCGGGCGCCACTATCCGTATGTATATCGACAGTTACGAAAATGATCCGGCTACTTTTGTGAAAGACGCACAACTCGTCTTGAAACCTTTAATTAATATAGCGTTAGAATTAAGCGAACTTCGTCAGCACACCGGACGCGACGCACCGACTGTGATCACATAAAGCGTCGCGTTCGTTTATCTCTTTCATCGCGTGGAAACAATTGTCTCTCATTGTCGACAGTTATTTATTGGAAAAGATTTCTACAGCGAAAAAAAAAAAAACGTAAAGAATTTATTTTTGGGTTTTTACGGAGATGATACGTCCGCGAGATTTCCGTTGTTCACAAAATGCTCACAAAGCAATAGGAAATAATTGTGTCGTTGGCAACAATTGTGTGCGCGAGTGAATTTTCCATTTTTATAAAAATGTTTCCGGTTTCTCCCTCTATGTCGCAACAACACGCGCAATTCCATCCATCCTATTGATATACACATACGTTAAGCAAAAAAAAAGAAAAAGAAAAAAAAAAGAAAAAAAACCAACTTTTCGTGCAAAACTTTTTCAATATGCATATCTGAGTAGCGACTAAAATGTTTAAACAAAAAAAATCTACATACTAGATGCTCGGTATTGATGTGTTACATTGCTTGAATCTTTACATTTACAATCGATAAGAGTCGAGATGCAAATCAAATTTATTTGAAATCTCTCCGAGTGAGATATACGCGTCGATAGTACGTAGTCCTGGTTCCGCGCCGATCGTTCGATACGCGTGTCGCGTACAGTACCATCTCACGTACGTAAAACTCGCAAAGATTAGATTGTTGACAGCGCTGCTGTCGAACAAAAACTTTCATTATAAACAAATTTTATATCATAACGACACGTACGTTTCGCACTCATATGCTTAGCGTTAAATTATTACTCTTGTGTATTGTATCGGGTGTGTGTAGACATTCTACATGTACTGGAAAAAAAAAAAAAAGCTTTTTTGTGAAAATGTTTTGTGACGCAACATATTGTTTTGTCAAAAATAATATTGTTGATGCGCAAAACTATCTAGTTGTTGCCGCAGTATATAATAAATTAAAAAAAAAAAAAAAAAAATGAGTGTAGGAGACGGTATTTATAGTGAGATTGCTTGAGATCGTCTTTATTTACACATGTACGCGTTTCATATGCAAACACGTAAATATAAATAAGACGGTCTTCTTTCTCGAAGAAACGACTACGAATACCGTTCTGTGTCTTCTATGTAGGAAATGCGTAGACGTTCGTCTGAACAAATCGGTCGCGAGTATGTAAACGTTCTGAATTTATTTGCCGTTAGAAAAAAAAAAAAGTCCACGTTGTGTGCAAAGAAATGTCTTTTTTTTACCTTCAATCGCCGACACTAAAAGACAGCGAAACAGTTTTTGTGATGACATGGATTTTTTATGGCGATCGAAACGCAAACGAATATCACCACGTGCATTCCGCAGTATGTAAAAATATAATTTGTAAAGAAATCATGATTGTGAGTGAGCAAAGATGTGGGGGTATACATTGTCAATCTTCCAAAGCTTATGTCTATCCGCTATATTCATATTTAAGGTTTCATTTTCATTCTCGCGAAGTTGTACAGTTGAAAACTGTCTGAAATTATTTCTTCACAGCTTTATTTCTTCAAAGCTGCGGTCTATGTAATACGTAATAAGTATCCTCGTACGTACTTTGGAGTTTTCTTAATGAGATAGCATAATATTGGAGGATTAACAAATTCAAATATTGTCCGGAGGGGGCCGGTCTTTCCAACACGTTTATTCCTTAATAACGCTCTTGTCCGTAGAACGGATTGTGCTGGACAAAATGTATAGGATACTTGTCACGTCAATTGCTAGATATTTTATTCGGAAAAGTTCGGAACAATCGGCCCTGTAAGTTTAACACAAAGTTTAAGAGGATGCCGAAGCGAACTTTGATTTTTCAAGAATTTTCTCAAAATAATATCGTTTATGTTTCTAGAAGTGGAAAGTATAAGCGTTTCGTTTGTACTATCAATTTTGTACATGAAGTAAAAATGTAGCCTACGTGGTAACAAGTTCACAAACTTTTTTTCGTTTTTCTTGAATTTTTCTATACGTTCCACTTTTTTAACATATTCTCTTTTAGTTCGAAGTGGCGTTTTTTATTCCTATTAACGAATGCGGAATAAGAAACGCCGATAAAAAACAGGACGGTTCAAGCATCCTCTTAACGGATAAAACAATAAGCGGCTCTAATCTATTATGGTTTGCGAAAAAAAGAAATGAATATTTCGATTAATAAATTGAGTCGTTTTTGCAGAACAGAACTGTCACTAAACATTTCGTAATGGATATCGAATGTGTGACTCTGACTGTGACAGATTTTTACATGTATATGGTATACGGAATCTTCTCAGAGAGGTGAAATATTTAATATTGAGAGAATTACGTTTGCGTCTCATACCGTAGATTTATTTATACCGATAAATTTATGATCTTAAATTGAAGTGGGAAAAAGAGGTTGTATAAGAGTCTTTTTGCGCTTCATCTTGTACAGTAGCGTATGTAAAACTGCCTATGTGTAAAAACAAAAAACAAAAAAAAAAGAATTACGACACACTACTCCAAAGCGAATATACAAAAAAAAGAGCGTGTTAAAATTAAAACATATAAAAGTTTTTGTAGATATAGTCATACGTACATCTGTAAGAATCTTTCTTTTCGATCGAAACGGTCAGTTTGTTTCTTCTTGGATTTATGCGCACTAATTCATTTTCAGTGCCGACGCACCAGCCTTACTTTGTGTGTATAGTTATTCAAAAAAGTTTCTTCTCTGCCATTGATTTGCTAAACGCATGTAATTTTTTTCAATTCCTTTTTTTTATTCACTCTTTTGTCACATACGTACATATATATATCACTCTGTCATTCTTTATTAAACGTATATAATTGCTTCGTGCTATCTTTCTACTTTAAAATAGTTAACTACTTTAAAATAAAATAAAATAAAATAAAATAAAAAATTGCAGCTTAGCAAAATGATTGCTGCAAGTGAATGCAGCTTTATTGATATTCGAGAGAAGCATAGATGTTCTTTAAAACAATTTGAACGAATTCTCCAAAACCTGAGAAATAACTTAGAAAATTTTTGCCGCAATTTCTCAGACTTTGGGCGAAACCACGGTGGTAACGATGTAGATTGCAAATTCATATAAGTTAACGTGATATTCAGATTCATGTTAGTCTTCCAGCAAAAGCAACATCTCTATGAAACGGCGCAATATTAAATTTATAAAAAAAAAAATAATATTTTCTTGTCGAGAAATATACACCGTACAGACAATATAGTTTGCACACGCGCACCCACACACACACACATACACACTGAATATCCCGTTAAGATTAATCGATAGAATAGAATATGTTAAATAAACTTGTAAAAAGCAGTAGGTCGATTGTAAAGTGAAACGTTTATATTTCTTCCGGGAAAGGAACGAAATATGATTGTTAAGAGAGAGAGAGAGAGAACAGCAAAATGTTATATTTTATTATATAATGTGTATAAATTCACATAAGAAAGTCAACAATAGGTAGTAATGCGAAAAACACGTTCGATAAGTAAGTGAGATAGACTACCGCGTTGTATCTCGCAAAGTTAAGTAAAATATCTCTGCTCTATATTCGTAATAATTAATCCGTGAACAACCGTGAACAGCTATTTTGTCTTCTTGTAGTTTTCTTTTTTCTTTTCGTTCGTTTCTTCAACTTCGTCTCTGCTTCTTTCTTTTGTACGATATTTCTCTCTACGAGCGTTTGTGTGTATCTCTGAAGTGTCACGTGAACACACGGTTCTATACACATATTTATGTAAATATATTGCTAAACTACCACACACTTAAACGCGTGATCATGATTCATGTTTCATTTGAAAAACAAATTGGTAAAAACTTTTCACACGGTGTGGCGAATACGCTGCGAAAGGACGGTGCGGTATGTGGTGTAAAAAAAAAAAAAATCCGGAACACACGTGAAAAACAACAATATGCGAGAGAAATTTGTTTTTCTTTCCTTGAATATAAAATTTAAAAACTGCAGCGTATTATACGGAGAGATTCCGCAAGGCAATTATGTAAATAGTTGATGGTGAAGGAGAATAAGGAGGAGGAGGGGGAGGAGGAGGAGGAGAGGAGAAAGAGGAGATACTTAGGGACCTGAGCCGACACACGCTCCCGTTTGATTCACTAATTACGTTCTAGAGAAATGGATGAAAGGCGCGGTTCCTCTCTTTCTCCGGAGACGCGCGCCGTGCACAAATCTCTCTAGAATGTAATGATGAAGATCACGTAACGCGGCGGCGGTGTCACAGAGACCAGCACAGAGACTGCCGATTACTATAAAAATATTAACATGTAACATTTGTATCACATAATCATAATAAATCATATTAATGTAATCATACTAATTACCATTGTAAGAGTAACGTGTAAATGAGTGAGGCTGCTCGGAATGCACGTGGTTACGGACAATTGCTGTGTGAAATTTTTTTTCCGCGTCATTTTGTACATATATACACGCTGTGTGTTTCTCGCGTTAAATCAAAAACTCAAATTGTTTCTGAAAATTTGTTGTTTTCGATGCGATGTAAACTCGAAATGTCTCTTGCGTGAGAACAAAATTTGTTGTTGCGAGCAAAAACAAATTTCGGATCTTCTAGTGTCAGCGCGGATTGTGTAAAAAAAAAAAAAGAAAAAAAAATTTACATGTACCCCGCATTCGCTTGTGCGTCATTTTTGAGTGCGAATGTGGCCGTCCTGATTCTCGCACCACGAATCGAAGATGCGATTATCCATGTCGCGAGTAAAACATATAACGATGGACGTTTTTGCGCTGAAAAAAATTCTACAATAGTTTGGCGGCGAATTTCTACGAAATCATAAATTTTATGTGACATCGATCTTCTCGCGTGCACTTGTGTTTTTAATCAGTTTCCATGTTCAATCAAACTCGTACAAATCTGGAAGTGTCGACGACTCTTGATTTAAAATTTTTTCAATAAATTTTAATTCATTACAACGAACGATCTCGCAGTTTGTCAATTTGCAAACATTCCATTTGGTATAAGTGCATTTATCCTGTAAAATCCCTCGACTGTGTGTATTATACATGATGATTGAGATTTATTGCGGATCTCAATTATAGAGAGAGAGAGAGATGTATGTTCAAGAATCAAGACATTCTTCGATAGCAGAGAATTTTTATTATAAATACTTTTTTATGCAATTTGCGTTTTATCGTAAAACTGTACAAGTATCTTAACAGAGAATAATAAATTTATACCATATCAAAATCGTCCCTCTGAAACCAAAAAAATAATTTATTTGATGTTTTCAACTCTATAAAGTAAATATTTTGTGTATAAGAGAAATGTTCAAACAAATTACCTGATTATTGTACTGTAACACATGTTTCCTAATAGCTGAGGTGTCCACCCACGTAACAAAATCTTCCAAGTTTCTGTAAACAAAAAACACCACGTGTAAAATCCATCTTTTATCAATTCTTCAACGCAAACAATACGAGAGACATGTAAAAAAAAAAAAACCAAGATGCGTTTACCTCGTTACCAAAAATGCAGGATCCTTCACAACTTCTACTCCGACTCGGACGTGACCCTGTTCTATCAGTTTGGTTGCCATCGGTATTGTTTGGCTCATTTTATTACGAACCATAACAACCGGAAGTCTTCGCCTGCAGAAGCAACTGGCGGTCACCTTCTGGGTCTGAGCCAAGTCCCACTTTGTAGAAATCAATCCTATCATATAGAGTTTTTCCAACAACACAGCGCTCTGTTCTATCCGAAATGGATGATCGGGCTCGACTTCCTTGATCTTCTTACCCAATTCTCTTATCTCGCGCGACAGTTTGTTGTATCTGCAACAATTGTTCGCGCCTTAAGAAGTTGTTCACGTTCTGTACGTCGGTTATTACACGCGTGTACTCACATTGTATAATCCGATCTTTTCTGAATGCAATATCGTCTTAAGATCTTAACCTCGTGAAGATTATTGTCGACCGTCCACGAAAGAAAATCCACTTTCTTCAGAAGCTTCTTCTCGTGATACTTCAATTTCCGCACCATCGCGATCAATCGCTCTCTCTTCAATCAATTGTATATTACTTTATTTACTCCGTATGGTGGTTTTTTACTTATGTAAACAAGCACGGTGCACGTTTTTTTGCGACGTAACCTCGACAATCACGTGTCGGTGCTGCGCAAGTCGTGCCAACGAGTGGGGGGAAAACAGGGGAGAGTTGACTCAAGCGGGTTAAAATCGGTCTCGAAAAGTTGAGTCAGGACGAACGCTCTGTCGCACACGTACCGAAATGGTCAATACATATGTTCCGCGCGCTATGCTGCGTATGGCTTGTATATTACGCTTCGGCCACAAGAAGAGAGGGATGGCAAAATGTTCGTTTTTCTCAATGTTTTTCGAATAGATCAGTGAAACAAGTCTCCAGACGAATCTGACAAAGTCTCTGAATCGACATGGCTCAACTGAACAACGTGTTGAAGGCTGTGGAAACACTGAACGCGCTACGTGAATCAGACACACTGTCGGATTCTGGAGCAAGGTATGTGTGTCTCTATGAGAGCAACATTTAAGAGTTATTGAAAAGAGATTCTTCTCTGGCTCTTTGCCAGATCTTCAAATTGTTGGTGTTTTTCAATATTTCGAAGAGAGATCTGTCACAGTTGACAGATGATAATAAAAAAACATCTATGCTCTAAGCAACAGGAAGGAAAAGATATCGTGCTGCACGGTAATTGTCGAGGGTATATGTTCACCAGCCGTCAGACAGAATGCCAAATTTCCGCAAATTCTCACTGCTACTATTGAAACACTGCTGGCGTTGTGTAACGACGAGGAATCGGATGTCAGGATGGTCGCGGATGAATCTCTTAATAAAATTATAAGGGTATGTGTAAGGAAGTGAGAGAGAAAGACAGAATGTGTTTTTCTACTGCCACATGACAATTATGTTCAACTTTAAATGAAACACTTTAAAATTATTTAAAGTACACTCTAATATCAGGTAATAGAAATCAGTTTTGAAAATCAGTGTGAATCCTTTTATTCAACTGGCAAACTTCTGCAAGAGTCACGTGAATCGCACAAATGTGTGATTATACATTGATGTCACATTGATTACATTATTTTTTAGATAATGGTTGACAGCAACATCAGCAAGATTCAGGTAGAACTTTACAATGAAATAAAGAGAAATGGTCCCGCGCGTATACTGAGAGCTGCTCTCCTGAGATTTGGTCTGCTGAGTCACATGATACGTCCCTCGAGGGGTAAAGCTTACGTGTCAAATCTGATACCTTGTATAGTCATTATTGCTCATCGATCCGAGGACATTGTCATCGAAACGTTGTCGCACTCGTTGCCGTTAATTTTCAAAGTGTTAGGACCATTTATGACAGATAAAGATGTCAAGGCAAGTATATCATATATTTGTGTCAAAAAAAAGTATTCACGCAAGTGGTTTTCTTGAAGAAAAAAAAAAAGAAGAAACCATCATTAAAAAATGTGTTTCAGAACTTGCTGAGAGCATTTTTCGAGAACATTTCTTCCCCTCAAGCAGCTTTTCGCAGAGCGGCAGCTAATATGATTCTAGCAACTTGTATAAACTGCAGGAAACCGCAGTTCTTTTTAAATTATGTGTTGAATCATCTGTTAGGTACGATGAAAGTGTATTTAAATCATAAATGTTCTACGTTTTAAAAAACAAAAAAAAGGCATTTATCAATGCTCTGTCTGTCTCGTCAGATATAATAATGCCAGCGAGAAACGTCGAGGATCACTCGTCCGTTATCATAGGCGTGTTTGGATGCTTAAGAGTGATTTTGCCCCACATATGCAAACCCTCTGAACCCGAGGACGTTGAGACGCAACAGACGGATAGTCTGTTGCATATTTACGAGTTGGGTTTGCATTACACGAAGTGGCATTCCGATCACAATGTTATAAATGCAGCCTTAGAGACGCTGGTGCAACTCTTGAAAATGCCTCCTAAGTCACTGGTGTCGGTTTTGTTGTCGTCAGAGGGCATAACTCAAAGCAAGATAATAACGAATCAAAACGCGCACGCCCCGTCGCTGGGCCAGATGAGTATTTCCAGCGCGAGTACCGCTTGCGGCGGAAATTCGGAATCAATTTTGAATCTTCACGAACCCGACGTGCCGGAAATTACGTCTAACATAGACAAATGGATATCGGATACAAAAATAATAACACCGCCGGTTGCGTGCAGCGTGCAGACGCAGGAGGAATCGCACACGACGAGCGACGTGATTGAGTTGAAGGGAAAGGTTTTGGAAAATCTTTGCGGTCTGAAAATCGGAGTCGTCGACAGTAAGAACATGAAGCATGTTGCGAAACGTAACTCGCCCCACGATGATTTCGCGAATGTTGTAGCTCCCGATGTTTTTCAGATGAAGTCGTCGAGGAGGGTAGCGATGTTGGAAGCGAGATCGAAAAGTCCGAAAGAACGACGTATCCGAGTCTACAGAGCGAACAATCGAAGGAGGAAGGAAGTTACTCCGACGAGGCCACCCTGTCGTTCGCCTCGCCCAAGAAATCTTCCTTAGATTTCCCGTTGTACGAAGCGGATGTCGGTAGTTTCACGGACTCGGATATGCCCGTCAAGTTCTGCTGTCGTTACCTAGTATCCTCATTCCTGCTGGCGGGCAAACCCGGTCACTTGATATCAGACAAGCTGTTTCGTGTTAGTGTAAAGTCTCTCGCTCTAACGTGCGTGGGTTACATCTTGAAACTTGATCCCCATTTGTTTACAATGACCGTGGCCAGAGAGCCGAGCTGCAATGAGACGAACCAATTGATTGCAGACATCTTGCTGTTTGCAAATCATCCAGATCCGCAGATCAGAGGCAATATAGCAATGGTGATCGGATTTTTTTTGAAGTCCGTGTTTGTTCAGTACGGCGGCTCATTTCGAGACTTCGAGGCGAGGTGTTCGATCGAGAACGGTCACGGAAACGTGTCGTTGGACGACATGATAAAGTTGCTTCTAAACGTGAGTTTGTACATTTAAGAGGACGACGTTTCGCGAAGTTTCTTCCTAACTCCCTCGCTTGTTTTTCTGTCGCATAATGCAGGGCTTGAACGACGATTCCGCGACAACGTGTCGTCAAACACTGGACGCGTTGAATATCTGCTTGACGGAACTGCTCGAATCTGTCGATAACGAACACGGTCTCACCATTTTGGCCGCTCTGCCGAAACTCATGAAGAATTCGTATTTTCTCGTGAAAGTGAAATTGGTCCAATTGCTGAGTAAATTGTCGTATGTCACGATCGAGCACATTGCGGGACAAACGTTATTTCAAGAGCATTTTGTCGACGTGATAATAACGTTATTGGGCGATCAAGATCAAAGGGTGAGACACGCTGCGTCAGACGCCATTGTTAAGTAAGACGAACTTTACAAATTTCTTCACTTTATCGCCTGTACGTATTTAAATCAACGTGTGCGCGCGTTTCGCGCTCTTTGTCATTTCAGAAGTATTCCGTTTTTATACTTTCGACATCCTCAGGAGGATACGGTTACGAGAAAGGCCACGCGGTACACTCAGCAATTTTTAAGCACCGTAACGACGAGCATCTCGGAACTGTCGTCGTGCCAAATTAAACATAAGCCCTTCGTGAACACGTCCATCAAACCTTTCGTGTTTCTGAATCATTACGACGGACCGAGTCACGACTCCGGCGTGGAATATTCCCTGTCCCGCGTAGTCAATATCCTTACGGAGATAATGACGGTTCACTCTTCCAAGTATTTGATATACGGATGCTGCGAGACTCTCTTCTGTCTGAGCGAGACTTACCCCACCACGGTTTACGTCAGAGGATGGGATTATATTTTGCCGAAAACCCCGCTGAAGAAATCTAAGAGAAGCGGCGATCGATCGGACGCGAGCGACATCAATTTGATGAACGAAATGATCGCCCCGGTGGGCAGCGGTCTCTTGTCGCTGGCGATGCCATTGCTCACGTCGTCGACCATCAGTCTGGATCTGTCCACGCACCGGCATCTGATACTTCTCGCCGGCAATCTGGCTTCCGGATTGGCCGTGTGTAACTTCAAAGCGGGGAGCGACCCGATAAAACTGTGGAGCACGTGCAAGGACAAACATCTGGAATTCTTGTTGACGCACATCATGAGGGTTCTCAATATCTTCGTTCACGTCATCGACGAGGTGCAGCTGACGCAAAGCAGCTCCAAACCTCTGTTGCCCTCCCTGTCGACCGCGCAAACGTTGTCGCCCAAGAAGAAGATCGTGCCGGAGCAATCGAGGTCGAAGGAGAAGGGCGAGAAGATCGGAATCCTGAGGAGCGGAAAGGAACTGATTGGAACGTTCGTCGGCATACCGCATTACATGAAGATACACGACATCCTGAAAGCGGCGCATTCCAATTACTTGGTCACTCTGCAGCACGAGGCCAGCGAGATGTACGTCTCGCTGCTGAACGCAACGCTGGACGTGCTCTCGCAGATTCTCGAGATCGCGTTTGTCAACGAAGCCGGCCGAATAGCGGAGGAGGTTTTGTATTATCTAAAAACCACCGTTGTTTTATCACCCACGGCGACGGTACGGTGTGTTCAGCAGTTGCTCAAGTGCTTGTTCGGCACGAATGTGTGCGCGCAGTGGAGCGAGTTGGACACGCAGAAGAATCTGGATCGACGCGACACCTTGCAGGATGACATTCGCGGTTTCTACAACCAGTGCTTTCAACATCCCGCCCGACAAATGGCGAACACGATCAAACGAATAGGAAACAATTGCAGGGGCGAAAACGAACCGGATACCGGGTGAGCACGAGTTTCATCATTCTAGATATACTTCGCGAGCAGCCGCGCACGTGCTAGTTCGCTAACCAGTCTTTCTTTCTTTTTTTTTTTTTTTTTGTATTTCCAGGTGGATAGGATTGTTGCGCAGAAAGAGTGATCGCAAATTCTCGTCGGTGTTCAAGACCCTGGCGCGATCGTCGGACCAGAAGACATCCGTCGCATCTTTCATTCGGCTCTTCGAGCCGATGGTTATCAAGTCTTTGAAGCAGTACACCGTTACGAGCAACATCGCGTTGCAGTGCCAAGTTCTGATGTTGCTGAGTCAGCTGGTCCAGTTGAAGGTCAATTACTGTTTACTGGATTCCGACAAGATATTCATCGGATTTGTGTTGAAGCAATTCGAATTTATCGAAGAGGGTCACATACAACAGACCGAAGAATTGTTGCCGAAGGTGTTCAATTTCTTGGTGCACTTGTCTTACGAGAAGAATCACTCGAAAACAATAATCGGCGTGCCGAAGATAATTCAATTGTGCGACGGTCTGATGGCGAGCGGACAGCCCGCGATTTCGCACTGTATACCCGCTCTCGCTCCCGTAATCGAGGATATATTTCTCGTTCGTAATGGCAGTTCGAGCGTGATCGAGCAACGCGAATTGGAAACGACGAAAGACGTGCTGATAGCCATGCTGCTGCGTCTGGTGGAGTATCACGAGGTGATAGAGCTCTTGGCATTGTGTCTGGCTGAATCCAGATTCAGCGGGGACGGTAATGGGGAAGAAAAATGGCGACGGTGGTCGAGACTGACCATGGACACCGTGCTGCCGATAATGGCGGCTGGAAAACTCAAGATAGAATCCGAGAAAGCTCACATCGCGCTCGTGAAATTGTTCGCCGCCATCTCGCCCACGGTTTTCCGACCGGTCGATCCACTTCTGAAGATACTCTTCACCGCGTCAATATCCGCGACGGCTTCCACACTGAGACTCAAGCGGTGGTTGGGTATGATTAACGTTGTGCTGCTCTCGTTGATTTCCTGCGCAAAAGAGGAGGCGATGCTGGCACGTCTCTCGGATCTCAGCATATGTGTGACGGACGTATCTCAGCTGTTCTCACCGTCCGAGGATCCGGCCTCGAAGTCCGAATGCAATACGGATCCTTTGAACGTTATGAGCACTCTGTCGCGTCAAGCCTCGCCCGAACAAATATTGGCCAGATTTATATTCAAAGTGATCAATCTGATAAGCACGAAGGTGTTCAATCTGCTCGGTCTGATAAATCACAAATCCGCGGATCCTTTCGTCGGTTTCTCCGATTACACGGCGGACGACATTTATCTGGTGCACCAGTTCGCGTTTTTCCTGCAATTGTGCATTCACATGTTCGAATCCGGCAGTCACTGCAAGGTGGCGAACGCGACGATGCAGATGATTCAGGGTCGCAACGTGCCCGATGAGGAAAAATTGCTGATCGACGATCTGAACTATCTGATGCTCAACATCGGGAATACGTGCCCGACGGTTACGTGCCAGTGGGCGTATTTGATGATCTTGCTCGGTTACAACGAGATGTCCTTCTGGTCGAAAATTCTGGGCATTGGCAAACCCGATTACGTCGCTTACGTTCGGCCGAGCGACAAGAAAACGCACGATCACACCACAAGCAGCATAAACATACAGATTATTCGACGAGGTGGAATCATATTGTTCTGCGATTACATATGCGAGAATCTCAACGATGTGGAGCCGCTTACGTGGTTGCTGGTAAATCACATCGAAGAAGCGATAAACATCGCAACCGAATCTCCGGTGAGAGATCTGCTTACCACGGCTATTCACAGAAATCCGGCCGCAAGCGGATTGCTTGTCCAAGCCATAGCGACGAAGTGCACGGATTTGTCGCGGCCCAGTTTCATAAAGCGTCTGCTGCAGTGCATCGAGGGCGCTCATCACTCGCAGAGCGGCGCGGTCATAATGACCCTGATACCGGGATTGCTGTCAACCAAGTATCTCGCACTGTCGAGAATGGCGGCGAAGATCGCCAGCCGCAAGGTGGAGATACTGTTAACCACCAACGCAGAAGATGTGATCAATCAGTTGTCGAAGGAGGAGATCGTGAAGATCATGGACACCCTGCAAATCACCAAATTGGCTCGGAAGCACGGCGGCTTGGTCAGTTTGCTGAACAAACTCGCTGTTCAGTACTACGATCTGTCGCCGCTCGAACTCGATCAGTGCAGACCGTTCAATCCGTCTACGGTGAAGAGCGTTCAGTTGGACAGAAATTGGTTCCTGTCGCAAGTGAAACTGCGATGCTGCCAGCCGAACGTCGGCAACAATCCCGTGGAACTGGCGCAATTACTGAAGAACTTGGACTTCGACGATTGCATGAGCATTCTCTCATGCAAAGAATTCAATTTGAAGATTCTGAAGCACTGTGTGATATTGGGAGCGAGGCTCAGCGTCGAGAAGTGTCAGCAGTTGGAGTTCGGACAGGCGCAAAGCGAGAAGGATTTCTATTTCGACGCGAATCCCCTGTACGTCGCCGCCAAGCAATGTTTGTTAGAGCACATTCACTATATCTGCGAGGTCATGCCAAAGCCACACCAGATCTACAATCCGGAAGCGGATAACAGCAGCGGAAAGGAGTTGAAATACGCCGCTAGATTCTCCGAGTTGCTGAGCGATTCTCTCTACTGGGAGATGCTCTTCACCGTAATTCCGACCGTCAGAGTGTACATGAAGACACTGCCCAAGTTGGCGAAGTACAACGTGGCGAAGATCGACGTGAAATTCGAGGAGGATATCGCCAGATTTTCCTTGCTGTGCCTTGAGCTTGCGCACTGGATGATTCATTCGGACAAAAAGAACGTTCGCAAATCGAGACCGCACGACACGTATCTCGCGTTGAGTTGCGCGGCTGAAATTTTGCGACAGGCTGCCCCGAGCAAGATCTTCGGAGACGGCGCGCGTTACACTTGGGTCTGTTCCGCGGCGATCTCGCTGACGAAGATCGTGGAGAGTATATTAACGACAATAGAACCTTTACCGCTGGTGGATTCTCATGCGCTGGAGCCGGCTCTGCGCGACGAGGACACCAGGGATTACGCCCGGGCCTGCATCCAAATGACGTCGATAGTAACCTGGCTTGAGAAGTGTCAGGTCGAGAATTCCACGAGAAATATTCCGCCGTATTTGTTCAACGCGATAAAATCGCTGGTAATCAGCGTGAGCCGGCAGCCGCTGGTGAACTCCTACATCCTGACGCCACCGTTGGTGTGGAGACGCGGCTGTCACGTCGTCGGATCGGGTCCCACCAAGTGCTACTTTCCCCTGCTGTCGTCCGAGTCCAATATCCTGTTGGAAGTGGACATTCTGGAACAGTTTATCTATCGAGTTAATTTGCTGGGTTGGACGTCCAGGTCGCAGTTCGAGGAGATCTGGATGGCGTTTCTGAGCGTTCTCAATTTCCTGCAAAACGAGAACGCACCCTCGGAAGAGATGGCGACGTTGATTCAAGCGAGCAGCCTGGCGATTCAGGCGATAACTCGATTGCTCTTGCAGACTCTGCTTCTGCCGTGTCCCGGCAATCCCGACGGGAGCGCTTACGTTCATCATCCCAGAGATCCGCAGCTATCCGTTCACAAGATCAGTTCGCGAAAACTCTACGCGATACAGGAGTTGCTCATCTGGAAGTACGAGTACATGAACGACTCCGAGAACAAAACCGGATTGAAGTTGGATCACATATTTCATCGAACGAACGTGGAGAGAACCTCGTCTTCCGACAAATTCATGTACAGTCAGCTATCGGTCTCTTACTTGTGGTCGTTGTGCAATTTGTACGAGGACAAATTAAACGCTTCCGTTCTGGATTTGAAGAACAGACGGAACGACGCGCTTATGTCCGCCTCGCTCGATCTCGACTCGTGTTTGCGTTTTCTGATCGAACATTACACCACTTGGTTGTTGCCGCAGGCTAACACGCCCGTGCAACTGTTAACGGAAATCGTCAAGTCGATTCTCGCGATCTCGGAACTCTTTCTCGAGAGATCGCAGTATCAATGGATGTTGGACGTGTGTCTGGAGGTCTCGAGGATTCATCCGTCGGAGAACGCGATCTTGCATCAATACCTGGCCATTTCCGTGTGCAAAGCCGCCGCCGTGTTAACGCCGTTGGTGAGAAGTTCCCATTCGTTCTTGCTTTCGTGTGACAGAAAATAAATAAATAAATAAAACTGCGTTTTTTTTTCTTTTTTTTATAACCTCTGATTTTATTCCGCAGGATTTGGAGACTTTGGACAAGGTAAAGCGAATAGTTGATGTTAATTTAAAATCGGGATTCTTAGCTTCCAGAGTTTCCGCGCTTCACGGCTCTCTGTATTTGCTGCAAAGCGCTGTACTGACCAAGTGCGAGGAAACCATGAATATTATACACCCCTTAACCATCGAATATATACAAAAGCACATCGATTCGCAAGATTCGAATAGGTAACCTTTTGAACAAAGGTTTAATCTAAATTTCTCAATCGTTTTTTTGTTCTAACGTAACCATTGGTACACAGTGTATTAGACCAAAGCGAAGAGCATCAGGGAGTAATGTGGGCTCTGGTGTTTTTTCTGCTGGAACACGCAGAAGACACGCCGCCTGATACGGAAGCGCCTGCCGTACTAGAATTAGTCCTTTCTCTAGTCACGTCCCAAAATATCTCGTACGGTTTGCATCAGACTTTGCTGCAGGTGTGCGTCACGACGATTCTCTCTCAAATTCAATTAATTAATCTTCCGGTACCATACGAGGATACTATTTATTTATTTATTTATTTTTAACTTTTCTCACAGGGTCTGGAGAGACTCGTGGCAACGAGAAGCGTGGTGGGAAAGGTCGCCGAGCAAATCGTCAAAGTTGCGATCGATCGGCTGAAGCAACCGAGTCCGTTGCTGGCACTGCCGGCTCTGCAGCTTTTGCTGACGTGCATGTACACCGAGGCGGCCGATCGTTTGAATCAGCCCGGTGCCGAAGAACCGCTGCCCGACGTCGAGCCCGAGGCTTTGGTACGATCGATAGAACGTATCTCCGCGATATTCGACAAAATTCGTAAGGGCCATCCGATGGAAGTTGAGGTGCTGTGCACGGTTCTGTCGCACGTTCTCACGGATTTCTTCCCGCCGTCGGAGATTCTGACCAAGGTCATCGGTGAATTTCTGTCTCCGCAACAACCGCATCCGAGATTACTTTCCGCTGTGGTCTTCAAAGTTTGTAAATTTATTTAAAAAAAAAAAAAAAACAAAAGAAATCAATTATAATTAACAAGCAGGATGTGAAAAAAAAAAACGAGTGAATTGTCTGGATTTTGTTTCGCGCCAGGTTTGCGAGAAAGCTTGCACCAGCACGGAAATGGAGCTTCTTCAGGACTGGGTGGTCTTCAGTTTGCCAAATTTCATTCAGAGTTTGCCGATAGCGATGTCGACCTGGTGCTTGTCCTGTTTCTTCATAAGCGCGTCGACGAATCACTGGCTAAGAGCTTTGTATCCTTTTCTTGCGCGTCGAACGCAACTTGTGTGTGTGTGCGCGACATAATTTGTAATCTCTTGCAAACGGAGACAAAACCAGTCCTTAGCCACAATGTAATATAGATTTCCGTACGTTCAGTCGAGAATAGGAAAGTACGATTACGAGGACAAGAAGATCTTGTGTATAGCCGCTTCGGATTTTTATTACAAAGTAAACTGATGCTTTTCTCGATTCACGTGCAAATATTTATCCGATTGTTGATGATGTTTTATTTCTGTGTGAATCTTTTTCAGCTACCGAAGGAGTCTCAAAAGAAAGCGTTCGTCGAAACCTTCGAGACTGCGGCGAAGGAACCCGGGACTCCGTTCACTGACATTCTAACGTCGTTTTAATGTATGTTGACCATAGTTCGAGAGAAAAAAAAAAAAAACAAAACTTAGGAGATAAATTACAAACCAATGTACAACTGCTATAGCGCGTTGACACGCCACGTCGTGTGTACATGTGTACATTTGTATGTATGACGATAATTTATTTTACATTATATTCCTTCAACAAAGAGAAAAAGATATATATATATATATATACACACACACACATATATATATATAAAACTTGTTTTTCAATAAACAGTATTTTTTAAGTAAATACGTATCATCGTTTTCTTGTATCTCTTCTGCAACTTCAAACCTGGGTACAACGCAAATTGGCGACAAGGATCTCTCGCGAGAAAAACGCGCGGACAAAGAGTGTGAGACTAGAGATATTTTTCTAACGCAAACGGTAACCATCGGAACAAGTAACAATTTTATCGGTTATTGTTTGTAAACTTTTTTAGTCTGTTTCGTTTTCGTCGGTTTGTTTTTCAGATAATAGACCCACATGTGCAGAGTGACGTAGTAGAACACTTCTATCACCGATAGTGCACTGGCACCGAGAAATAAACCTGCTGCGCTCCCCACTGCCGCTGTAACAAAAAAAAACGCACAAATAATAATATAATACCAAGAAATATAACCAAGAGACTCTATCAGGTAATAAAAACGTGACTAAAGTCGCGTGATCTCGGAGACTCATATCTTGCACTGAAGTGTTAATAATATAAATTATCAACTTGGAAATTTAATAAACGACGATTATGTAAAAATGTGTGTCAAGTGTTAATTAACTTGCTTATAAAATCGTTAAATCCGAATACTTCCTGTCGATTGAATAAACTCTTCGGAAGTTCTACGATTAGATTGAACCATATCATCGGGACGTCGTCGTAAAACACGTCATTTCTGAAAAGGCAAACATCATCGTTATCATATAAACAGATAAACGCGAAATAATTGAATGTTCGCACATGTTGCCGTTCATGTTGCGATATCTTCTGCGTGATAATGAGCGCGATTTAAAAATTACCTTAACGAACTGCTGCGTTTCTGTAACTTGTAATCATCGTCGTTGCAATTCGGCAAGCAATTGCACCTGGCTGGTACGTGTTTGTGCAGAAAGAGTTGATCTTTTATGGTAGCGATGCAACGCAGCTGGGTAGCGTTGCATATCGGAACACCCGCTGAAGACCGAACGTAGAAACAATCATTGTCACACACACACACACACACACACACAGAACGTGAATTTGCACAACAATTACGCATTTCATAATTTTGCACATAATTTTTGAACATAAAAAGAATTTACGAGAATATCTTACATAGATATTTATTTCCTTCTTTCTTTCTTTTGTTTTCTCTGATTCCACACTCTCGGATCTTCAAAAACTAAAAATGCGGGTCTGTTGTTGTCTAATTGTTTGTTATCCAATTTAGCGATTCGCAGAAACTCAAAACAAAAAACGAGTAATCGCGCAAACCTGTCGGGCGTGCGAAGTGAGGAAAGCAACCGCAGCGCTGAAGGATCGTTCGGTATCTGCATTCCATTATACACATGTGCAACGTGTACACCGGCCACATCTCCAGACCTCCGTCCTCGCTGAACTTACACTTCCTCTGTTTCAGCGTGAGACGCATCATTTTGTAACTGGTGACGTACTCCACAACCGAGACGCTGTACTGGTCTACGCGAAAAGGTTCCAAGTAAGACGTTTTGTGCTGATACTCGTTCACTTCGCCGGGATAGTACACGCTGATCTGGAAAATGAATAACGAGTCAGGAGGAATGTTTGTTTGTTTTTTTTTTTTTTTTTGGAAAATAATAAACAAAGAATGTGGATTATCCGATCGATTCACCATCATTCCATTCGTCGGCACTCTCAACGTCTCTATGTTGCCATCGTCCTCAGGATGGTAAAACGGTACGATCTCTGGTTTCGGTACCACGGTCCAGTTGTTCTGCATCCAGTACCTTCGAGATGAAAAACAACAATGGTTGAAGTGATGGGAGGAGAATGTAACTCTCCAAGATCGAAGTAGGTAGTGTTTGCTCACTCAAACGTAACGTAAATGCTCATGTAATTTCGCACCGACAGGCATACGCCTCTCTCGGTGATTATCGAGTACACCGTTACGTTTTGACTCTCACTGAAATAGGGATGAAACTCGTTTCGCAGATCGTGCAAGATCGGCAGCCACTTGTCCGGCGGAACCGCGTCGAAGTTCGGCGTCTCGTGCATGCTCTCGTAATCGACGCTGGATAGAAACCGAAAGAAACTTCTCGTCTCCGAATTGTCCTCCACGTCGTATCTGCGAGCGTAATTTAGACGATCTCAAGTAATGTAATAAAAACAAAAAAAAAACAAAGTGAATTAAATGTATAATAAACTTGAAACTGAGAGCGAGATGTGGAAACACGTGCCGCTGGAAGGTAGCTGGAAATTTGCTCTCGTCCGTTTGATTGGCGGGACAGATGACGAACGACGGTTTCCGGATGTGGAACGTCTGCCGATTCAAATCGATGCTCTGAACGGTGGCCTCGTTCTGGTAGCGGTTCCAATAACTCACCGACACGTAGATGCAAAGCATCAGGCACACTCCGATGAACACGATCGCTAAAATTCTTCGTTACGCACACGCGTTTTTTACGCGGTCTCTTTCATATTTTGTAACAAATACTAATAGGCAGTTGTGAATAAACACACCTTTCCACGGGATGTCTCCGACGCGCGACTATGTGATTGAGTCCGTGAATGCTGGAATTGCGCGCGAAGTCGATGAGGTAAGAAAGTTTCTCTTTCGCGTTTGTTCCGTTTATCTCGACACCTATGTGATTGAACAAAACGTCCGGCACGATTTGTTGTCCGGCAAGTGCATTTTTCATTCGCGTCTGATAATCGGCCAAAATCTCGTTCGTGTGAAATCGAAAATTCTTTTCGCGAGCGCTCGATGAGTTCTCGTGAGTTTTCGTTTGGGAACACTCCAGCGAGGATTTGACACCCATCTCGATGATCCGTGAGAAACAATCTTTTTTCCTCTTGTTGTAGCTTGTTTTTTTTTTTCGAAAGTTTTCAAAAACGTGTTATTTAAAAATAAAAAACAATTATATAAAAAATTAAATTATTAATTATTGTTTTGTTAACAATAATCGCGTTTCTTTTTCACAGAAAGATAATTATTAAGTATCTACTCTCTATGTGTGTGTGTCACACACGACTGTCACGCTTTACGTCACGTTGCGGAAAATCCGCGAGCAAGTAAATGCGCGCAAATAAATTGAAAATATCGCGATATTACACGCAAGTAATTGCGCGATTTTTTTATCATCATCATCGCGATGAAGCATTTATCGCGTGCACACGATATCTGAAAAATTCAATAAGCGCGACATATCACGCTTATTGAATATTTTACGGGGATAATAAATTTTAATTATTTACTTTAAATAAAATTTTTAGCGCGTAATACAAAAAAAAAATAATGCAGTAGTATTCCATTTATTTCAAGAACGTAATTTTTTTTTTATATCGAGAAGAGTTTTGTGAAACTCGCAACCAAATCCTATATACGCGAATACGTATATATATATATACACACTGAAATAACAAATGTGTTTCAATCGAAACATTTTCGCATCGATGAGTCGACGCGCGGAGGAACGTGTGTCAAAACTCGTGCGTTTCACGCGTCGCGTATGTACGAGAGATGTGCACAACCTTTCCAATTGTTTAACCGTATTTTATGTTTTTTTGTATTGAGTTTTCTTTCTCTCTCTCTTTCTCTCTCTTTTTCTCTTTTTTGAATCAACAGAATTTAAGCGAAAGCCCGACCGACGTGAAAAAAAAAACAAACTTGCAACGCATGACTTCTGAAAACTATGAGAGTCCGGTTTCTCTGCACCTTATCATGAGATCAGTTCGATCGGTTTCAGCGGGATTTCAGTGTCACTCTAGAACCGTGGCGTGCGAGACTTTCGACGTTCGATAACGAATTCTGATAATCGCCGCGTTACGCGATGAATATGGTAAGAATTTTACGTTACACACATATTTTTTAGAAAAAAATTAGAAATTTAGGAAGAAATACTTCGATTTGTGTTTGGCTCTCGCGTTGCTTTAGGAAACTACGGAGATGTACAGGAAGGGAACGAGCGGATACAAGGACGTCGGGTATCAGTACACCGAGTTCTGTCCCAAGTGCGGACAGAACGACTACGAGGACGGATTGCGCGGTTCAACGGCGCGCAAGAGGAGGACCAAGTTCTACGAGAGACACTGTCCCTCGTGCCACTGTCCGCCCGAGAGACGAAGAATTCACTCTCCGCCCGGGAGGCCGAGGTGACGATTCTCTCTCTTTCCTTACCGGTTGATAACAAAATTGTCAAATTAATTTTTTTAAATTAATTTTAATTAATTAATCCAATAAATTTGATTTAATCGAAGAACGTCGGAGAATATCGAGGCGATGCTGAGCCAGTACGAGCGCGTGGAACCGATCAGTTCGAACATCAAGAAGTCACAGAGCAGTCCTTTGTCGCAGAAGATGATGGGCTTTCACGATTGCCAAACGAACGCGATTTCCTGTCGTTGTCTCAGAAAATCGCCGCACTCCCGTCGTCAGAGAAGACCACTCGAGCGCGATAAGTATCCGTTGAGGACGAAGCGAGACACAATTAACTCGAAATTGAACAACGAGGATCTCGAGGTCTGTCCCAAGTACGTGCAATCGATACCCGTCAAAACTACCTATTCTTCGCTGAGGAAGCACGGTTGTTACAGAGAACTCGAGGTAATACGTTTGTCGATGGAAATGATTGTTTTCAATTCGTTCGTTTTTGTTGTTTCCTGACGTATTTTCTCTCGTAAGGAATCGCCGGACGAGCAAGAGGTTTCCGACGCGGAGAGCGAGACGTCGGCGAGGTACGTTCCGCGCGTTCGTCAATTTTTGTCGCGAAAACCGCGCGCGTCCTCGAATCTCGGAACGAGGCAACGTCGTTCGAACGTCGTCGGCGGGAACGAACGCGAGTACGTCTCCGCGGATACGAGAAACAACGAGAACAACGACGACGACGACGATTGTCGGCGAAACGCGCGCGATTATCAAGAAATGCGAAAACTCGTTCTGGAACTCGAGGAGTTGGAGAGATTGAAGCGGACCGACGATGTGGCGACGACGATCGCGAACGATAAGAGCGACAAGCAGCGGATCGAGAGGCGAGGACTCGACGTGAGAATCAATAGGCAGAAGAATTCCGGCGACGCGGTTTCTTCTTATTTCGTAACGACGACCAGGCCGTCCTACGCGTTGATCGACGAGTCGATTGACAAAACCACGAAGGATCTCGCGCTTGACGAAGGATCCGCGCGTTTCACGAAAGCGGATAACGCGGCGAAGACTCGCGTTCTGGAATCGATCGATCGCATGGTCGGTATCATGGACAACGCGAAGGTAACGAGTAGTCAATTGTACACGTAATTAATTAATAAACAAATTTATTGTAAAAAATCAAAGTGTGTGTTTTTTTTTAATTAAATTAATTACTTAGAAACGTCTTTTCCGCGCACATCGGCGACGCAACGGTATACGATTTTTTTTACAGACCGACGCGCCGTTACAACAAGAGCAGCAAACGGAACCGGAGACCGTCGAGAAGATAGCTCAAGATCTTCAGGAGAACGGTTGGCAATTGCTGTTCAACGCTCTGACAATTCATCGGGACGCGACGGTCAATTCCGGCAAGAGAATCGTTCGTCTGGAATGTCTCAATCAAATTCGACAGCAGCTCGACAAATTGTACGCTCTCGAATCGACTCCGGACAATTGTACGCCGAAGCAGCAGCAGTCGAGTCACGACGTGACGTTCAACGAGGATCGTTCCCAGCAATTGCCACTCGATCAGAAGATCGTCGATTCTTGACGTTTCTTCTTCGGTCAAACATTCGCGCGTCGTTTTTTAATAAAATTTTTTCTAAAAATATACACGATGTACAACAAAAAAAAACCTCAAACATATCGTTTGCGGAGTTACGTTGCGAAGGTGAAATAATTCTTGCGAACTATCTCACATTGTGTCTCGACAAAATATATATACAATAAATAAAAATATATATAATCTACGATGTAACATTTTAAGAGAAATATATTACGTAATGCGAAATGTCACAGAGCGAACGCACACGTGAGATGTGAAAAACTCCAAGATAAAGACATTCAAGCCAAATTTGTGAAACTCGTTATTTTTTTATACATTCGCTTGTGTGAGTTTCGAGATTGAATATATATAAATAATATCCTCATCGAGATTTTTCACTTGGTAGCAATAGCTTTATTGTTTGAAACGTTTTTTTAAATACACCAGAGTACATAACTACTCTACTTTCTTCCCGTTCTCAAGCTAAACAAGGTATTGTAATATAATATTAAATTGTTTTTTTTTTTTCTTTTTTTTTTTAGTTTTTTTTCACGTCGTTATTGTAGTCTCTTCCTGCAATGAGAGAGGTGCTTATGAGAATTTTATTACGTGTAACGTGTATATATGTATATTTGTGTGTGTGTGTGTGTATATATCTAGACTGTCCCAGGAGGACAGGCCGGTGATTCTGGGAGAGAGACGATGTCGATCAAGCGAAAACGTTCGCGCGAAAAACGTGTAGTTCTTTGTTCCGGAACGAAAAACTACAGCCGTAAACACCGTGTATCTGCATATTCGACGTTTGCGCGACAAAAATACGCGCGGCATTTTCAACATCGCTTCTACGATGTCACAGTCAACGTGTAACAGTCAGTCGAAAGGGAAAATCAAACAACGGCCAACAAACAGACGCGATATTGCGCGCCGAACTCTGTCTCGGAAACCGAGTTTGGAACGAAACGCACGTTCATACGAAACATTTTTAATCACAATGACCGATACCGTCGCCTCCCAAAATATTGATCTTTTCTTCCCGAAACACCCTGTATATACACTTAAATATACCATATATACATATATATATGTTATATATATATATATATATAGAACCTATAAATATTTTTGTGTATATATATATGTATATATGCGACAGTAGAACAATTGGTAATTACTCATTAACGGACGCGCGGAGCGCTTGATCACTTTGAAGAGTCGGAGTCACGCCCGTGTCAAGGCGATCGGAGAGGGACGGCGCGCGTCCATTAACGTAACCGATTACTGAACAATTATTTACATAACGTTTATAATAAGCTATGACTATATATATATATATACACACACATATATATATATATATATATAATCGTATTGACGCGGTAGGATATAACTTCTATAAACTCGAATAACGAGACGGGCAAAGACACAAGTCGAAGAGAGAGAGAGATCCCCGGTAATTTTGATTTTGTACGACGACTTGTGAAACAAAGTACAAAAAAAAAAAAAAAAAAAAAAA